ACAATCAACATCCCAGGCATCACAGCTATCCCTAGTTCAAGTACTGTCACCTTAACTTCCCTGTTTGGCTTGAATACCTTGAGTAGGAAGCCTGACAAAGCCATTTGTAGGACAAAGCTCTCATTTATCCAGTGTAATTCTTACAAATGATTTTTTTTCATCAATCTGCTATAGTATTAAAGCTCCAAACAAAGAAAAAATAAACAAGAATTGAAGATTGTCTCTGGTCCTTACCTTTCAGGGAATTCAGCGAGAACATCTCCATCACAGTGAAAAGGGTGATTCCTAGAGAAGCAAGAGGTAGCAAGAAACAGGGAATTAGAATTACTATTTCCTTTCAGATGTTTCAAGTGCATAGTGCTTCTTAAAGTATCTGTCTTTAGCACAAAACTGATTGTCCTCAACAGGTTTCACATTAGTGTTTATATCTTGGTTCACTTGACAGGGCACATGCTATTTGCTATCCAGTTGGAAGTGGCTGCTCTGCGCTCAAAGGGAGGAAGCATCTTCTCAACTACCAGTCTGTTGGTTTTGGAAGTGCTTTGTAGCGGTATTGATTTGGAGGTAAGTTTTTAAAACTTTCCTAAGTCAAAATGGCAGAAGTAGGTAGTCCACTGCCATTATAGCAGCCTTCCAATACCAAAAGTGGCTGACAAGAAAGCTGGAGAGGGGCTTTTGACAAGGGCAGGTAGGGACAGGACAAGGGGGAATGGCTTTAAATTGACAGAGGGGAAATTTAGATCAGATCTGAGGAAGAAGTTCTTCCCTGTAAGGGTAGTGAGACCCTGGCACAGGCTGCCTAGAGAAGCTGTGGCTCCCCCATCTCTGGCAGTGTTCAAGGCCAGGCTGGATGGGGCGTGGAGCAGCCTGGTCTGGTGGAAGGTGTCCCTGCCCATGGCAGGGGGTTGGAACTGGAGGATCTTTAAGGTCCCTTCCAGTCTGTGATTCTGTGATTATTGCCCCTTTTTAAATAAAAACAGAAGGAGGAGATATGTACTCTTAATAATGTTCTTTGCTGAAATTATGTTAAACTTCCTATTTTAATTTCTTTCTTAGACAGCTTTCACTCAAAAAAAAAATCAATTCTGATTTAGGGTCTTCCGTCAGTCATGCCAAATACTAAATCCATTCTAGGCACTCTTGATAAGAGAGTAAAAAGGATTTTCTAAGCAACTTGGATCAGACAGGTGAGGGTCCTCATTTACACAAAGTTAACATTAACTATTCATACTAATGGCTATTCCTGTGCACACGATTAATATCCTGCAATTATTATGCTTTCAAATAATTAACTTTTGCTTCCAGTGAAATCAAGGGCAAGATTACTGTTTACTTCAACAACAGCAAATAAGGTCTAAAATAACAGCACTCTTGGAAGAGAACTCTGGACATGACACCTTGTTCAGCAAGTCACCTCCCCACAGGCACATGAAAGAAAACGTGCTGTGGCTGACAAGTCTACACTTTGTATTTTCCAATGACTTAAAACCACAGTTATTTGGCTTGTTTAAAAATGATAAACCATACATGCTGTAGTAATTATCAAGACTGGCAGAGAAAAACATCCCTCATATAGCTAACTCACTGCATGGAACAAAGTTAGAAAACTCTTTTGTGGTAGCCAAGCAAGATTCTTAAGGCTGAAGCATTCAGCCATGGAGCAAAGTCATGGGAGGAATGCAAACTGAAAGTACAGAGAGCAGATCACATAGCACTGTGGTACTCCCTTCATATAGGGATCACCACAGTCTAGGTAAAAACCATCTTAAAGCCAACAGTATTTCAGACAAATTATATGAGTCCAATATCACCTCAACATAAAACAGTAAATCCTTAAGCATTCTGAAGTTCGGACAAGGGGGAACGCTTTAAGCTGACAGAAGGGAGACTTAGATGAGATGTTAGGAAGATCTTATGAAGACTCTTCCCTGTGAGGGTGGTGAGGCCCTGGCACAGGTTGCCCAGAGAAGCTGTGGCTGCCCCATCCCTGGCAGTGTTCAAGGACAGGTGGGATGGGGCTTAAAGCAACCTGGTCTAGTGGAAGGTGGCCCATGGCAGGGGGTTAGAAATGGATCAGCTTTAAGTTCACTTTCAACCCAAACCACTCTGGGATTTTACAAAACTTGCAACAGACTCTTAAATGTAAGTAACAGAAGTATTGGCCACATCTTCCTCCCAGATTTTTAAGCATGACAAAAAATGGGGAAGCTGCTTGCAGCCAGACTCAGTGTATTACGGAGAATGCAGTGAAGTTTACAACAGCTTCCAGGGGCAATGTACCATTCAGGCGGATAAACTGCACACCTTACCTATAGAGTGTGAATCAGTGGCAAAGCACAAAACAACATCTCACCTGCACTGGGATGGACAGAAGGGCACTTCCAAAAATAACTGCAAGCTGAAGTTGAAGAAAATGGTCTTTTCAGCTCAAGACCAAGAAAAAAATAACTGAAAACCCTCCATGGATGAGTGTACGAGATTAACAACCAAGACCCTCAATGACCAGCAAGATGCCAACAAAACTGTTATTCATAATTGTGCCTGTAGATGCCTTGTGGAGACAGGACCCTCACCATGCAATCAGTAACAGTCCTGAGCTAAAAGAGTCGGGGGAGGGGGGAACTCGGGTAGCACAGAGAAGAGAACAGAGGCAGAAAGAGAGAAACAATTCATGGTAGGCCCATGAATCCCACTGGTGAGGGATCCCTTATAGGGAGGGGGGACTTTGAGTACTTCAAGCTGGAGCATCCAGTAAGAACACATTCGAAGCACAGAGAGAAGAGTTTGGACAAACAAGCTTCAGTTTAAGGAGAGAAGAGTTTGGACAGACAAGCTTCAGTTTAAGGTACAGGTCATTAAGAGATCAGACCCTGCCATAGCATCAACAGATTACTCAGGTCCAGATCCCGTGGATCTGAACACAAAAGGATCCCAAACTGGGAACCAGTTTTTAGCACAGCCAGCAGCCTGGTGGAAATCCCAGGGTTTTTGTTGCTGAACATCCTGATACCAAAAAATAAAAGGTGTCCAACTATGGCAGCTGCTTCACCATTCATAGAAATTAAGGGGATGCATGAACATCATTGTACAGGGGACACATTGGAAGATTGAAAACCTATTTTGTCAGGCTCTGATGACAGGAGAGAGATGTGGGACCTCATGTGATGGTGGATTTATAAAGAGGTGGACCACGATGATTCTTACAGACAAGGCAACGGTTCATCTGGAAAAAGAATCAACCATGCAAGATGACGCCATCAAACTGCAGAGCCATTCATGCCTTGCACTTGGCACCATACTAGAATCCCAGATGGCAAAAGAGACACGAAAAGTTTGTTACCGTTAGATTTAATGCTCATACTGCAAAGGCAAAGAGTTGAACCAGTGAATATGGCACTCGAAACTATTAGATAAAACCTCAGAGGCCTGGGAACTAGGCCTTTGCTGGATTTCCTTGATCCATTTGAAAACAGCTACAAGTGTGTATGAAGAGAAACCACACCCCCAAGAAAAATACATCAAGATGAGGTATCACAGAATTTCTGGTCATTGCCTACTGTGGATATTCCAGCAATGTACAAAAAAAGTATAGCCCCAAGTACTCTGTCATGAGAACAAAGAAGGAACTGTGTTGTCTTACATGTCCTTCACCCCAAACATCACCTATCCTGGGGGTCATGCAAGGCAAAAGCTTGATTTTCAGCTCTTTGGGCTGAAGACGCAATGCGAGAAACCTCTCATTACCAATACAGATTCTGTAAGACTTCCATTACTGATGAGTTGGAAGAAGGAATAATAAAGTGCTAGAGGTGGGACTGGGCATTTAAATGCTCTTAGGCACCCACTCCCAAGACCAAGTGCTGTGGACTAAACAGGTGACCCAGATTGATGGTTTAAATGACCACGGGGGGGGAAATGGTGCTACTAGTGACAAAAAAGCATGTTACAGGAAGGTAAGGGTAGAGAAAAGGGTTGTGAGCGATGCCGAAGAACAGCTCTGTAACTGCAGTGAAGACTCCTCCATGGCGCTCACGAAAAAAGCAGGGGAAAGCCCAGGAGCCGAGCTCCCCAGGCCGTTTCCCGAACAGGGGCTCTGCTACCCCTCCAGCCGGAGCTGTCCTCGCCGGCTGCTCGCCCAAGCCCCGAGAGGAGAGGCGCCCGAGAGCTCGGCCGGTCGGATGCGCTCCGCGGCTCCCCGCGGCGGCACCAGACAACAGCCTGCGCCCCCGCCCCGCACATGTCCGCTGCCCCACCGGCAGAGCATCCCCGGCCACTCCGCCCGGCTCCGCGCCGCCCGGCCGCGCAGGCCCAGGCCCCCGCCCGGCCCCTTCCCGCGGGCCGGGGCTCCCCTCAGGCCGAGGTTCCCACCCCCCTGGGCGGGCACCGCGCCCGGGCTCGGCCGCCGCCCTCCACCGCGCTCCGGGGCTCCGCGCCTCTCGGTCCCGCTGCTGTCCCCCGGCCCATCGCCTTAGCCCTGCCAGTCGCCCCGCCGCCGCCTCCCGCCCGGGCTCCGACTCGGAGCCATCCTCCCCCTTCTTCCCCTTCCTCCCGCCGCCCTTCCTCAGGCCGCGGTCCCTCCCGGGCCTCGATCGCGCGTTCTGAGCCGCGATTCCGCCACGCACCGAGCGACCCGAGTACCCCCGGCGGAGGACCGCCGGTCCCGCTCCGCGATACCGACCTCCTCACAACCAACTCTCTGGCGCCGGTCGGCCACCACTCGGACTACAACTCCCAAGAGCCCCTGCGATACGCTTCCGGAGCACCGCCCCCTCCCGCGGCCGGTTTTTCCTCCCCGGATGTGAAACCCCCTCCAACTGGTGAGAGGCACCAATGTGAGGCGGGAGCGGCTTGGGGCCTGTCCGGTCCCCAGGGCAACGGCTGTCGCCAATGGGCGGTGCGGCCTTCTGCGTCTCTGTGGCTGCCGTAACCCGCGGCCCGGCCCCTTCGGCGGCTCCCGGCCGCTGCCGTCGCCACTGCGCTCCCGCCGGCCTCACCGCGAGGGGAGGGACGGCCGGTGCCAGCCCCCACTTGACTTCGCGGAGCTGGAAGCGTTCGGGGAGACAAGGGTGTCCGTGGGGCAGCAGGACCGGGCCCCTCGCGTGAGTCTGGCCCTCCCTCTGGCCGGGAGACCGGGCGGGAGCGGCGCTGGGGTACTGTCGGAGGTGGAGTGAGCTCCACAGCAGGAGCTGCTGGCACCAGTGGGCCATCGAGCTTAATGTTGTCAGATTAAGAGGAAGCCATGTGCGTCATTAATACATCGACATATTAAGCAGCCACCAACCTTAACGACCATGTAAATATGGAACAGACTCACTGTATGTATCTATAGGTAGAAACTTACTCCTGATTCTTAAATACTCACTGGTTAGTTAGATCTGCTGAATGCCCCCAGTGCAGGAGCTTATTGTCCTAGAGCAGGCTTACTGCAGGCTGAAACTGGGCTGGGCTACTTCTTTCTCCAAAGCAGGACAAGGCTCATCACTGCTGCTCGCTGGAGTAAACCTAGTGTAAGCAAAAAGAAGCAGCCTTTGTGCTCTGTGTTACTAAGCCCCAGGTTGTAATAATCACCTAATTAAACACTCCAGACAGTGCCCAAAGATATAAGTGGCAACCCATAAAACAGCGTGGAAGTCTTACAAGGTTTCCTCAGCTTTTCCCTGCCATCAGAAGCTGAAATGGGAGGAATGTGCAAGGCCTGGTTCCTCCACTTGGGTTCCCCACAGCCATGAGTAAAAGGCATCTTTGCTTTCTGCAAAATGCTGAATTTGCATGGGTGCAGTTGTGAGCATTAATGGTAAGCAATGTGGGAGATTAATTTATGAAGGAAAAATAGCTGTGGTCTGGGTGTGCTGATATACCACCATGGTATGGACACAGACAGCAAGGCAAATGGGGGAAAAGATAGGCTTAAAATGTTAATGTCTTAAGTTTTGTGTGGTAACGGAATGCTAAACTCAACATGGTTTTGACGCAAGTTTTAGGAACTACCACCCAACAGCTGATTTGCACACAAAGTTCTTCACTTGTGTTTTCTGTCCCTTTTTAGTCACTGTGATTTTAATAATCCATGTATTTATAAAATAAACCTTTCCAAGTACTAATTCCAGTGAAAAGCTCTGATTTGGTGATATTAAAATGATTTTTTAAAACATTCTTGCCACATAAAAGCTTTTTTTTATAGAATCCCAGAATGGTTTGGATTGGAAGGGACCTTAAAGATCATCCAGTTCCACCCCTCTGCCACAGGCAGGGCCACCTTAAACTAGACCAGGTTGCTCAAAACCCTGTCCAGCCTGGCCTTGAACACTGCCAGGGATGGGGCAGCCACAGCTTCTTGTTTCCCAGGGAAGTGCTAAGATGCCTGGGATGATTTAAGCTTACTGAATTTAGCTATTTCTCACTGTGGGCTGCAGGCCACAACTGTCTTCATGTCAGCTGTACAAAGGACACGAGCCAAAATATGATGGAAAAGAAGTCAACTCAGGGCAAGAGTGTGTCAAACTGGAATTTCCCCCTAATTTGTCTGCCTGCTTTCAGAAGAAAAAGCCAAAGTAAGACAGAATGCATACAGGACAGGAGAAAGTGGCAAAGAATTGAGGAAATTCATGTATCTATCTGATGCTTTGGGGTCTCCAGCCGCTGCACCTTTAGTCAGAAGATGGAATTTGAAGTCAAATTATTTCTGTGGACTGTGAAGGCTGAAATGTTAGTGGGTGACCTTCCTCCCTCTGCAGTGTGTAGAGGTAAGAACAAGGATAATAAAAGAAAGTGTTAAGGAAGGTAACTTCTGCCATTATTACCAGCTTAGCTTAAAAAGCTTTCAGAATGATTCCAAGGGTATCTTTCTGTTAAGTAACGAGCAAAACAATTCATCTCTGGGGGTTTAGAATGGAAAATTGCTTTAATACAATGACTTTGTAGAGAATATGTCAAGCCATCTAAAGCAAGATAATTTAATTATAGTTCTTTACTTGCTTCCTACTGATGATAATATCTTTAGTGGTATTATTTTGTGCTCTCTTTTCCAAGTAACCCAAGAGATGCCACAAAGGCTGAGTTTAGATCTAAATACAGTTGTAACTGTATTTAACGGGGGTTTTAGTATTTACAGTTGTTTACAGTATTTACAGATTTTACAGTTATTGGTATTTTTACAGGTTTTAACTATATTTTTAACATCCTTGTAACTGTAAAATTAAGATAAAAACCATGAGCAGCATTTTGAATTTTGTTTTTGTTCCCAAGCTTTATCTATTAATCTATTTCTGTTCTGAAAAAAGAAACTAACCCAAAACCCACAACTTAAAGTACCCTATCCAGCAAAACTAACAGGAAACAGTGTCCTGTGTGTTACCAAATTGCTGTACAACCAGTACAGCTCTTCACTGCCTTCCTGCCCCATCCACCATTCTGCATAGTTCATCTGGACACCTAAAAATCCATGTATTTTGCCTGTCCATATCCCCTAAAGTGTCACTCCTGGATTAACCTCTCTTCTGCCCATATCCCTTCACCATCAGCTTGTACGACTGACAGCAAGGACTGCAAAAACCAGGAAACCTCCTGGATAATTGTGTTTGGACAGCTTAAGCCTATACCAGTGCATGTGGGAAAGGGCTGGTCTTACTCTTCCTTTCCACAGGAGAACTCGGTATCTCTGCATTAAAAAAATAAAATAAAATAAATAAAAAGTTTATTTGGAACTATGTAGCAACTTTAAAAGTTCTCAGAAGAGGTGCCAAAGGCTCAGCACCACCTAGGGGACAGTGCTGCTTTAGGAAAAAAGACATCCCCGTGCTTAAATGACAATAGAGACATGTCTGGTTGGTAGATCTCTTTCCTAAATGGAGTTCCTAACAAATCATGGAAATGCTATATGAAAACACACACACACATGTACACACACACAAAATACTCTGTTTTTTTAGGTTGAAAACTGTTTCATGTTTTCAACTAGTACAAGCAACGAAGCCTTATAATGCTGACAGCATATCCTTTTTGGTTTGATTTTCATTTACTGTCTTTTATTACAATGCATTTATTGTATTCGTTCAATTGAGTGGCTGATATTCTTTTCAGATCTTTTAAGATCTAACACCTTTATGACCCCACTATGTTAGACTTCCTTGCAGGCTTGCTCAGACTGTTCTGCCTGTGGTCATACTTGTAGTCCTAAAGGCAAAGAACCTAATATTATGTTAATGTCACTTTTTTAGAAGCTCATTGTCAGAATTGCTCAGGCCAATTGCTGCTTTCTGTCCCAGTACTGGAAGATACTGAAAAACAGTGTAGCACTGAGAAAAAGCATTCCCATTTTATTTCAGGCTTTCTTAGGATGGTCTTTAAGGTCCCTTCCAATCCAAACCATTCTAGGATTCTATGATTCTATGACTTACAGAAACCAGATTGTTGAGAAAGTGGGCGTAGCTACCAAATAAAAAGGCAGAGACGCAAGAAAACTGATCTAGTTAAACAGCCTACATCAAGAGCTCCTTTGACTCAGACAATTATTTAATAATTCATGAAATTCTACTGAAACCACTAAACAAAGACCAGCAGCAATGTATAAGAAAAATTTAACTTCTGAGATGGAATTTGATGAGCCAGTTACTGACACTGTTAAAAAGAACAACAAAATGTAAAGTTTAAAGACACAAGAAACAGGAAAATGGTTTAAAAGAAAAAAAATCAGAAGAATCACAAACCTAAGAAAGGAACATCTGTCTGGCCTCATACACTAGTTGTAATCAACAGAACTACCAAGAAAGATCATTTCCTGATCCTCTCTCTTGTGAAGGATGATGTTAAAATTTTCTGCTATACCTTTTAAAGCTGCTGGTAATCTTGATAACATATTAAATGTCACAAAAAGAGTTATTGGAACAAACTGGTAAATTGCTTTTTAAATTAAGTCCAAGAATTGTGAAAGAAAATTGTGCAGGCAAGCTGCTAAAAAAAATATAAAAAATGCCTCTAAAGGTAATTGTCAGACTGGATTGTCAGCAGATAATATATCATGTTTTAATTTTTTATATGAAACTCCATGTTTTCATTTCTGATATCTCCTTATGGCTCTCGTGATGAGAGATGACAGGATGGAGGTAATTTTGGGGTAGTAAAACAAGTTATATGTGCCAAGTTCTGTGCTGGTCAAGAAAAAGTGTGTATTTCCTCCTAGCCCCCACTATGAAATAGTTATAAAACACCCAGTGATGTCTCACTGCATAAAGTAACTTTATAATCTCTTCCCAATTAAACAGTAATATTAGAGAAATCTTAATTCATTGGAAGAGGACTGGATTTGGGGGAAAAAAAATACCCTTCTCTTTACCTTCTTAAATGCTCTTTTTCTCTTTTTTTTGTGTTTTGCCTTGTCTCAGGCACCTTTCTGTGGTCTTGTTATAAAGAATACAATTTTCTTCAGGATTACATTGGCCTGAAAATACAACCAACAACACTATCTGTCTGACTGCAGCTGTACCATAAACCTTTGGGAAAAGGTTTTGTGTGGCCAAATGAAACAGTTGTCAACATTAAATTCTGAAGTGCTGCTTTTAGCTTGTCACTTTGGCAGAAATTTTAAATCTGATGTTAATATTTTTTAGAAACTATGTTCTCAATCTGCTACGTATCACGCTAACAGGGTCCCCTAATATAACATTATAGGGTACAATAGCTATTTTCAATAAAACTTCAAATAACTTCTTAAATTTCAAAAAGCTTCTTTAAACATCCCACCTTCTGATGAGCATGTGCTGAAGCACTGTTTCTTCAGCCTTAATGTTTCTGCTTGTAGTCTGTGTGCTTTGGGAGCTCCTGGCAACTTCTCTGTGTGGTTTTCAGGTGTTACTGCCTATACAATACTCCTCTCCTGGTACTGTCATGCTAACCCTGCTTAGCTAAGTATCCTACCTCACAGTGTTACTCTACAGAAAACCACAAAAAAGATGACACAGGAAGATGTTGGCTAAAAGAGACTAGATACAGCAAACCACGATGTATTTGAGGTGTTGACTTCGGTTGTGGCTGCTTGTCACACAGCCTCTGCCAAAAGAGGCTTTCCCTGACTCCATGGCCAGAGGCCCACTGCGATCAGGGATTATAGTTATAGCTTATTATTATTATTATTGAGCTTTTTCCCAATTTTGCCCACTATTCTGAATGACCAAAACTCAGAATTCTGCTCAGAAGATGCTTGCAAACTACCTGCTGTGGAGAGCCGGTTCCTCTCACTGCTGCAGGCACGGCTGCCTCCTTCCTTCATGCCCAGACAGGATGGAAAGCCCTCGGGAAGCTAGCTGAATGTTGACTTTTCTTTACTTGGCCTGAATTAATCACCGAGATGATTTTATAATTGGATTACCATAAAAAATGGAGCAAGGGTGAAGCGAGGGCTCTGCAGAGGAAGCAGGCCATTGGACTGGACGGATGTGTTGTTTCACCCTGCCCGGGCGTGCAGCTGGGCCGAGAAATCACTTCTGATGGCCTGATGCTTTCAGTGTTCGAGGGACGCGACCGGTGCCGCTCCGGGAACAAGTGCCGCCCATCCCAGCCTGCGTCCCTCAGTGTGGAGACATGGCCATCTCCGAGGCCTTATATAGACGCGGCGGGAAGGAGGTGGGCGGGCTGACAGTTGTGATTGGCTCCCCAGCCTGTCACCCTCACTGTTCCTCTTCCCCCAGCACGTGCCGGCACTGTTTACCATTTCTGGTTGGTCGGCGCAGCGAAGGCGTGCTCCAGCAGCCAATGGGCGGCTGGCGGCGGGAGGAGCGGGTTTAGGGGGGCTCGTGTTCGCCTACGCACTGCCTTGCGGCTGAGGCGTGGGGCGCTGGTCGGCCCCGATAGACTTCTGTAGCCGTGCTGAGGCGCGGCTCTGTCTCCCCGCACGGCAGCGGTGGCAGCAGCTATGAGGCCCGCCAGGTCGCGCTGTGGAGTCGGCTGAGGGCGCTGCAGAGCGTCCGAGAGCGGTGGTTCCGGCGTGGAGAGCGGAGCGGGCGGCGGAGGGGAGCGGCCCCACAGTGAGTACGGGGCTGCCGCGGCGCTTCCCCGGGGAGGCGCCTTTTGGGTGTTTACTATGGCGTTTGTGGGGTTGATGGAGGAGTCCGGCCATTGAAACGTGCGCTTTAGGGTTATGCAAGCCTAAAGCATCGCTTTGCTAAGTGCCTATGAATATCGGCGGTTTTTTTTGTGGTAAAACCTTTTCCTGCGGTTCCCCCCTTCGTTCCTTAAACCCGAAAGCGACCCCCGTGTCTCCGAGAGGGAACGGCTCCGTAGCACCCTTCCCTGGAGAAGGGAGGGCGGGCGGGGAGCAGGGAGGAGTCGGGGTAGCGGCGGCTGTGATTCAACCGTGGCTGCAGTGTCGTATCTCCAGTTTTCTTCCGGAGGAGAGCGGGGCGGTGGGGAGGCGGCTGGGGAGAGGGGCAGAGCGGTAGGGTCGGTCCGAAGGCAGCAGGGATGGGAGATTTCATCTTGCGTTCATCTCCTTCTCTTCCTAGCGAGCTTTTCCTTTTCTTCACTTCCCTGCCCCCTTAAAAACTTGTACACCAAATATTCTTTACCGTAGGTGCTTTAACGGTGCCTCCTCTTTAGTGTTGGTTTTGCATGCATTAAGTGAGAAATAAAAAATACTTAGAGCAGCTCCCAGTGCATAAAAGGACTGACAAGAAAGCTGGAGAGGGGCCTTTGACAAAGGCAGGTAGGGACAGGACAAGGGGGAATGGTTTTAAACTGACAGAGGGGAGATTGAGATGGGATCTGAGGAAGAAGTTCTTCCCTGTGAGGGTGGTGAGGCCCTGGCACAGGTTGCCCAGAGAAGCTGTGGCTGCCCCATCCCTGGCAGTGTTCAAGGCCAGGTTGGATGGAGCTTGGAGCAGCCTGGTCTAGTGGAAGGTGTCCCTGCTCATGTTTAGGGTCCCTTCCAACCCAAACCATTTTAGGCTTCTCTGAAATATGTATCAGATGTTCACAGTTTATCTCGTAATGCATACTGCTGTTGTATCCAGTTTGGTTTAAAGATATGAAAGAGGTTAGGTTTGAAAGAAGAAACAATTCTATTTGTTAGACTGTCCAATATGACTGGGAGGGAGAGGGTAAAGTTTGGACCCAGTCTGAAAAATAAAGGCAGAATAGGGCTGGTTTGGGGTAATGTTAATAGAAAGGAGCTAACCAAATTGGTGCTAGTTGTCCTAGAATGGAATCCTTACATGAATTACTCTCCAAAGTGCTACTACTTCATTATGTTTTGCATGGTTGCTCTTCAAATGCTCTCCAGAACTGTATGTGCATGAAATGGAGAAACTTGCTACCTTAATTTAAAAGTACGAGATAACTAAGCGACTTTATTTATATGTTTGTCTTGGTGTTATTTTTTTTCTTCTCATGTGATACCCTAGAAACGTGCTGCCTGTTAATGCAGTGGATTCTCCTGTTAAATAGAAGCTCTGTACTATGTCACTTACTTCATATGTCGGTTGAATCAAACTGAATTTCCATGTGACTTCTTTTAATACCTCTGTGTTTGCTACTTTTTCTCTAGGGAAAGAAAGAAAAATGTGTTTGACAGTTACCCAAACTGTAATGGTTTTGGTGCTAAAGTATAGCAATTTTTATCCAGGCTGTGGGAAGCTGTGATATTGCAAAGATACTAATGTGCTTGTTTGTGACAACTGCATAATGATAATAGTAAATGTGTTATGAATTTAGCTAATTAGTCATATGAATGCTCCCACAGGTTGTTTTGAATTTCTTTCAGAATGCTTGGTATCTGATCTAATTTGTTTTATGACTCTTTCCAAGAGAATTTGGTACTAATAATTTGCTGTTGTTACTCATAAACCTTTTGTATTTCAAATTTTCTTATTTTTCTGTACAACTAGAATCTGAAAAGCACTGACAGTGAGGAAATTTGGGGTTTAAAACTCTAATTATGTCATACTGTATTTGTTTGGGTGTTCTGGGGACTTGCCTGCATTTGAGAGGTTCAGTAAGGTGCATATAAAGATTTCATTTGTGTACTGAGTTTGTTGCAGTGCTCAATCCTTTGTTGCCCACAAAGATGTTGAACAACATTGGTCCCAACACTGACACCTGAGGGACAGCACTCACTGGTCTGCACTGGGACATCAAGTCGTTGACCGCAACTCTTGAGTGCAATTCTCCAGCCAATTCCTTATCCACCGAGTGGTTCATGCATCAAATCCATGTTCCTGCAGTTTAGAGATGAGGATGTTGTTCCTGAAGGGCAGATGGGATTTCTATCAGTAGAGGCTTTTAAGAACTTGTTAGCCAAGTGGCTGTGAGGAGTGTCACAAATACAGACTAGTCCTGCTCTGTGGTCGGCAGCACAAGCACAAGTCTGTACCTTCAAGTGGTTCTTATGGTGAAGTTGTTTGTTTGGTGGTGTTGCTCTTCACCCCCTGAAGTTGCAGAGGAGAGAAGTTGTTTCTGTACTTATCTAGAAAGACCTGGACTCCTGCATTGGTTTATGATAGTCAAAATAATGATACCTGATCCCTTTCAATATATTGTGTTACATAGTTGAAGAATTGGATTGACCACTCTTTCCTGGGCACAGAGTTGCAAATTAAGGTAGGATATCTTTAGATTTTGCAACGGGAGACAACTCATTTGTCCTGTATCCACCACAAACTCTTAATCACTTTAGAATAGTGAAATTGTTCCCAAATCTCTGACAGATTGTTTTTAGTGTTAAACAATAAGCACAAGCAAACTCTTGCTTTCCAGATGTCATCATGCAGAGTGCCAGTGAGTGATGGAGGGAGTAGCCATCATTTGCTGTTGGACATGGTTGCAGGCTCAAATCTCTGATTTGGAATATCAAATATGACAGCAGATGGATATCTACAAGAAACATTGTGCTGCCAAGGTAATTTTAGCCATTTGTTTTCTGTCTTGGGAGGTTCTCTGCAAGCTATTAACTGTTTTGTTTGTTGTTTTTTTTTCTTTAGGAGAATGGTATTTTCTCTGTAGAAAATGGGTCAAATGAAAATTTACTTCTTTACAAGAATGATGTTTATTTCTACATGACTAGATTTCCTGGAAAAAAATTAAAGCTTTCCATCTCCAAAATGTGAAATGTGTTTTGGGGTTTCTTCTTTTAAAAGTCTCTCACTTCACTGCAGAATTCCCTGGAAACACTTGAGTTAATACTTTCAAAGTGCTTCTGAATGTTTGAAACAACTCTCATGTTCCAATTTGAAATTATTTTAATTGGTTGGGCTATCAGTGTAAACTGCAAAACTCATTCCCCTGGACTTCAGGGGGAAAAAAAAGCAGAAGGTAAGGAGTTTTATTCAGCTTGAGTATTGTCCTTCCTCCTGCCCTTTCTCTGGAAGGAAGACTGTTTTACTTATTGTCCTTACTGCACATGTGTCTATTCTGTCTAGATAATTGCATTTGTCTTTTGCATCAGTTTTTATAAATCAAATAAGTTGGATGAGTTTTTGGATAAATTTGAAACTTATTATTCATCTGGAGTGTAATATGTCTCTGACAAAGAAAAAGAGCAGTGCCTATATAGCTTTACTCGTTGTACACTTTTGTAGGTGCTCCTGCAGGAGCTCAGGTGAGGAAAGCCTTCATTTATCGGCTATGACTGGCAGTGAGAAGGTCAATCAGACCTGCTTTGGGAGAGGGGGCTTAGACTAGGTGACCTCCAGGTTTCCTTTCCAATCTAAATTGCTCTTTGATTCTACTGTAATAGTTCTGAAGGGCCCAAGGCTATCCTAACAGTAGTCTGTCATGTAGCATAACAAGGTGAAGGAGAATGCTAACTTTTCAGATGCTTTGAATCTTTTCTAAGTAACTGGAATTTGTCTTAGCTGTATTTCCATATTTTTTTAACCAAATTAGCTTATTACTATCTTTAATTCATTGTTACGGTACTTGAACAGTTATGACGTTTATACAGACATGAATGCAAATGAATGAAATAAGTTAATTGTTCTGCATACAATTTTCTTCCATTCACAAGTATGTGCATAATTATACCACAGGTGCTATATAGCACAGACTATATATAGTCATTCATATATAGTTATTCATATATATGTTACTTATGATGTTATTCATACAGTGAATTCATGATGTTATTCACACAGTGAATAACATTAGATTTTCCTGTAAGGAATGCTAACTTTACAGCTCCTTTCTACCAATCTCTTTTACTTAAGAGACTTTGTGAGAAACTATTAAGCTGTACTATTAGGAGATTGTCAAGAGAAATAGGCTGTGGAGGGTGCTCTGTGTGTGCCACGAGGCATATGCTGGTAAGGATGAAGAGGATTTCTGGCTGAAGCAGCAGAAACTGAGCTGCAGTGGCTGGCTCTCTGTCCCCACTATCAAAATGGATATAGGCTGAAAGAGGGTAGATTTAGATGAGATATTGGGAAGAAGTTCTTCCCTGTGAGGGTGGTGAGGCCCTGGCACAGGTTGCCCAGAGAAGCTGTGGCTGCCCCATCCCTGGCAGTGTTCAAGGGCAGGTTGGATGGGGCTTGTAGCAACCTGGTCTAGTGAAAGGTGCCCCTGCCTGTGGCAGGGGCTGGAACTGGATGGGCTTTAAGGTCCCTTCCAACCCAAACCATTCTGTGATTCTGTGAATGAATGTCTGCCGATGTTTTTCAGTTTAACAACTATCTTTTTTATGGGAAGCAAATGACTTTGTTGTTATAAGATGATAAATTGAACTCTTTGTTGGAGAAAGAACATGTGTTATTAGTGGCTACAACATGCACGTTGGCTTCAAGACTTTCTGCTCATAATTGATGAAAATGTAGCTGTTAAGACCCTTCAGTGTCCATTTCTGTGGAGAATTAAATATTGAGAAATCTACATACTCCTTGTGAGAGCATGTAGCAAAGACTTAAAACACTATGAGGACAAATCTGGTGAGAACTAGCTACTGGCATAAGCTTTAAAGGAGTCTTTGGGCTTTGCAGCCACAGTAAACAACTCAGAATCACAACTTGCTATTCTTGCTCTGTTGTTTTCTGTTTGGTTGTAGTTTGAATGCTGGCTTCTTTAGCAGAAGTTCTCTGATCCATATGAATGTTGAAGAGGTATTTGGCAAACATAAACCCATTGGACAACCGTGTTGGACAGAACCTGCATTGCTGCGAGAATCCACGCAGTTTGCTGGTGCAAGAAGTGCAAGCATGTCCAAGCTACCTCTGTGTCTCAGATCAGCAGGAAGGTAAGTGAAAGCTTTGCCATGTGGTTTCTGAACTAAGCTGTGTTTTTGTTTAGAATGTGTGGGCTTATTTTTAGGGTAATGTTGGACTTGGCTTTTAGTACAGTGCTTCTTTGAGCACTTTCTAAAATTCATGTACAATTTTAGAAGAAATTCCCAGATGTGTCACAAGTCATGAATTCTCTACTTAACTGTGATTTAGAAATGGATTCTAGATTTCCAGTCTTAATAAACAGGCAACTGGGAGGTTTTTGAATGTGTACCTCACAAAACCACCGTGTACCTCAGACTTCAGCGTGTGCAACAACCTTCTGTGACTTACCTTTTGGAGTAGATTTTCTTGGAATTGTCCAAGGAAAATAACCCACTTCCTCCCCTCCACAAAAAAGTAATCCCAACCCACAACAGTACGTAACTTCTGGGGGGGTTAAGACCTGCCAAGCCGGTGTGGGATTCAGTGCAGCAGGGTTGTGGTTATTTGAAGGCTGAGCTGCCAAGCCTGATGAGATTGGTGCTCCTCGGAGTACTTAGCTGTCAGCCACTTGGTGATTAAAAGAGGTTTAATATATCAATTTTGACAAAGAACATGTGTGGTAACATCCATCAGTTAACATGTGGTAGTTAACACTGCTCATATCTTGCTTGTTCGGAGCCTTTTCCTCAAATCCTGATTTCCAAGTAGCAGGTAATTTAACAAGCTGCAGTTTTAAAACAAAAAGATCAAAAGTGGTGTTACATTTCCCATACTGATCTTTTCTTTCACCAGAGTGCAAAGCCTGTATGATTTATGTCTGCTGAGGCTGTAGGTAAAAGCGTTATTAATGCTCCCTCTTCTAATTTGACTGTATGGATAGTATGGAACCTGATTTATTGGGGAAGGGGCATTGGGTGTCTCTCAGTAACAGTGAAGAGAAAAATGTTTGAACAAAGACATGCATGCTATTGTGGTTGTAGCTTGCACTTAGAACAGAGGGAAATCTAAGACAATACTGGTCAGAAGGCCAAAAGCTGCTGGTGGTGGATTGCTCACCGAACAGTTTGAATCAAGCCAACACTATACTGGGCTGCATCACCAGCAGGGTGGCAAAATTATCTGGGTTTAGCAGAATAGTAGTGCAGCATGTCACAGTCCTGTTAAAAAATAGTTTCATAGTAAGCTTAGGCTCTTCTGTTGAGAGCTTTGTTAACTGTAGTACCTGATACTTTTTCCAAACATTTTTACTCTGGCTTAGTAAACTTGACAGAACTTACTGCTACAGAGACTGTTTTCAGTTCATTTGCTGTGCCTCCTGTACCTTTCTACCCAGGGCCAGTTCTGTGTTCATCAGTGCATGTGTTCTGTTTGCATGGGTAAAAGCTGAATTCTTCTCTGCCACTCCCTCAGCAGGGCTGGGTCTGTGTCTACTCTTGTTTTTGAGAGGTCTGAATTTCTGAGATCCCTGCCTCTGTCAGAGGTGAAATTGTCTGATGTTTTACCAAGTAAATGATCAGGAGAGTGGAGAAAAGGACTGACACGTCATGCTGTTAATAATCCTTGCTTCTGGAAGAAGGCCACAACAGCACAGTCCAGCTGTGGAGGAATGTGGGTGTACCTCCAGGTAGTTTCAGCTGGAACAGTTTCATCTCTAGTAGCTTGGTTTTGGTTTTGTCTTGTTTCTTTTCACAAGGTTTTACTCTTGCTCTCTTCAGTCTCAGGATGAGTGAAATGGACTGTAATTGCCCAAGAAGCCGTGAAGATCTTCGAAGACATGATAGGAGAGAAAGGGCTCTAATTAAAGCACGAGTTGGGCAATATTGCCTTATCCCATTGAGAAAGGGGATAAAGCTTAAGTTTTTCATTTTACAGTCATTTTATTTTTATTTGGATTTCTTGTTATACATAACTGACTGTGCTCCAAATACTACTTTGCTTTAGATGCTCAACCAAGCAGACAGCTGATGGACCCAGCAGCCTCAGCCAGCATCCTCAGTTCCTGGATTTAACTGCCTTAACAACCTGTTTGTGCACTCTTCTGCTCGTTTGTGCATCTGAGACTTGCAATGGTTTGTAGTCCAGGTCCCCCACAACAGGACCACAGTGGTGCTTTCTGGCAGTGCAGGTACCAGATGGTATGGAAATACCTGGAAATGCTTCATGAAGCAAAAGAGGTGAGGTTATACTGTCACAAATGTCAGCTGCGTTGAGCTTCCCACTGCTCAGTAGCTCATTTTGTGTGCTTGCTGAGACTTGGGCTGCCTAAGGATTTGCAGTGGGAGAAATCATTCTTTATGTCATAGCTTAAATCATTCTAAACCGGTATTGACCCAGAATTTGAGATTATTTCTAGTAGGTGGAACTGAGTCACTTACATGACAGTGAATAGTTTCAGGCAGATTTTTTTTTGCCTTTTTTTGTTTTAATTTTTGTATTTTGAATGGTTGGTTTTGCAAATAAAGCATTAGCAGAGACTTGGTCAAAGCTCAATGTTTTTTAAAAAGGAAATTTGGGGAAAATTGCTTCATAATGATTCATCCCATTGGCCTAGATGTGAATTATGAAATAAGGAAGAAAACTAGACAGTGTACCCAGCAGTGAAAAGCACCTGATTTTTGAAACTGTTACATCTGTGTATTCCAGTGAGTTGTCTCCATCTGTGCCCCTGTTGCCTCCTCTTAGACTATCATCTGCATCCTGCATTGCCACAGGATGGGCTGCTTCTGAATATCCTTGATGATACATGAGTATCATATGTGAGAAAAATTTTACTACCCTATATATTCAACTCCTCTGTACTTGCATAATGTGTGTCATATTAAAAAGGAGGTCTAGATCAGATCTTGACTTAGTATTTAAAGGGTAGCCACAAAGAAGATGGAGACTCCCTTTTTACAAGGAGTCCCATAGGAAAGGTGGGGGGGTGGGGGGTGGCGGCTGCAAGTTACTCCTGGGGAGATTTTGGTTGGACACAGGAAAAATTTACACTGTAAGAACCATAAGACACTGGAATAATCTCTCCGGGGAAGTGGCGACTCCCCAGCATTGGACACTGTTAACACTGGGCTGGAATGCGTGCTGGGCCATCAAATCTGTGGCATGCTTTGCCTAGAAAAGTTGGATCAGACAAACCTTAAGTCCCTTCCAACCTGGGATTCTATGAGACCTGCAGTCTCCACAGCCCAGCACCACCAGGAGTGCGCTGCCTACCTCAGCCTGGTCGTGTCACATAGGTAGTGAAGGCTGAACCGCAGAGGTAACGAGCACCCAAAAGCTCATGGGTACACTGCTTGTGAAACAGTAAGGTGGAGGATTTGAAAAATTACCACAAGGTGAGCTTGCTGTGGATAGCCCGGTCTGCCGGGACCAGCCAGGGTGAAAGGGTGTCCTGTAGGGCACTGACGGCCCTTATTTAGATTCTCAGCACACCGGGAGCCCGCCTTAGTCGGTACCAACGGCGCTGACCATGTGTTTCTGCTACCGTAGCATCCCGCCAGCCCACCCTAACCCCCGACATCCAGCGCGCATGCGCCGCAACCGATAGGAGGAGGTGCGAACAGCGCCGGAGGGAGCGCCTTGGGCGCGCGCCCGCGCATGCGCAAGAAGTGGGAGCGCGCTTCCCCTCTGGTTTAGCACGACAGGCTGCGCATGCGCCAAGATGGCGGCCGTGCCGCGTGGGGGAGGGGCGGCGGGGCGCAGGAGCTGAGGGTGGTGGGGTGCGGATTCCCAGGGCCGCCGCGGGTTGTGGGGCGTGTACCGTGAGGGAACGGGGGGGAAACGGAGCGCACCGCACCAGCCCGGCCAGCGGTGTCGGCTTGGTAGCGGGCGGGGGGAGCAGGTACCCGAGCATGCCTGAAGGGGCGGAGCGAACGGTGCCCAACGCATGCGCGGTGTGAGGCGGGTGGGAGGTGCAGGGCCGCAGTGGCGGCGCTCGGCGAGGGTAACAATGGCAGCGGCGGTAGCGGCGGGCGGAGGGACAGGGCCCGGGGCAGCGGCCGCTGTGGCGGTGAGCGGAGGTCCCGCGATGGCGGCGCTATCGGTGGCGCGGCGGAAGGACGGAGGCCCTACGGGGAAGTTCTGGGAGAGCCCGGAGACCGTGTCCCAGCTCGACTCGGTCCGCGTCTGGCTGGGGAAGCACTACAAGAAGGTGCGGCCCGGTGCAAGGGAGGGGATTTGCCCGGTCGGGGAGCGAGGGGGCTTCCTGCCGCGGGGGGAAGCCGGCGGTTCAGCAGTCCCTTCCCGCGGGACTGGGTGGGGGGAGGCCCGGTACCGCCGCCGGCCTTTGTCAGCCGCGGCCTCGCCGCCGCGCCCTGCCCCGCAACGCGGCCGGGAGGATCCGGGGCCGTGCTAGTGCGGGGTGTCCGGACCTTGGCGGCGGCACCGGAGCAGCCTGTGGTGGGCATAGGCGGGCCGAGAGTAGTGCTCTGTGTCCGTGTTTACACTGAGGCGAGTGGCAACGGTAACTTTCTTGTGCGGGCAAGTCCCTGCTTGACGCGCCAGGATTTTACACGGTCTCACTTAAACCGCACCCCTGAAGTGATGGTGGGTTTAACAAAGTGGGGGAGGAAATAAGGAAAAAAAGCCGTTCGTGCAGTTGAGAACCGCTTTTCGCTGGATCTGGTGGCGTTAAGAGCTCCACGCGTGTTGGCTATACTTCCAGCAAGTTCACTTCGTGGTAGTGTCACTACTACTGTGTATCGCCCATGTAGTCCTCTTCCTCTTCCATTTGGTTGGCTGTGCGCTTTGTTTCTTTGCTTTCTTTTTAAGTGTTTTCCCTATGTAATGTTTTTTTAAGTTTCAAGAGCTAAACCTTGAAAAATTACCGAGGTGAATGTTCCAGAAGAAAGATCTCTCTGCCTAGACAGCTTTGTAGCCATCCTAGGATGGGGATTAGCTGGGGCAGAGCCACGTCAAGGAGAAATACTGGACAGCTAAAAGCGCCCTAGCCTCTCTATTTGCCCGAGATTAGCAGTCCGTCCTCTGTTCTTTGGCCGCTCTAGTGTCAGTCACCCGCAGAGAGGCTTGCTGGTGGCTCTGTGGGTGCTGTTGATCGGGTTAGTTGTGTGGCTGTGCTCCAGAACTGGTATCTGAGCTGGGTTAAAAACCGGAACAGGCTCAGGGATGTGTTTTACCGGTCCTTCCACTTTGCTTGTTCCAGCGCAGCTACGTACAGCCGTATTGCTGTCGTTTGAGCGAGCAGCTTTTATGCTACTTACGTTGATAAGGGAATGGTAACCCAAAAATACATGGTTCGTTTGACTTTGTTTTTGTTGTGCTTCTTTGCTGTTTCTAGGCTACCTAAGAAGCGTGTTCTTTCATTCCATTTTTGTAACTGAACACCAGCAAGAACTCAAACTTTTGAAATAATTTTGAATTGGCACCTGCTGTGTTGCAGAAGAGCAAGTCATTTATTAAAAGCTTTAACGGTTATTGTCTCTTGCTGTTATGAATGAATATCTAGACAAGTTGGTTCTTGCCTTACTGGATTGTCAGGGCCCTTTATCTATAGTTCAAGGGTAGGAACTTTCATTTTGTATGCCAAAGAAAAACTCCATTATTAAAATTGGTTTACACTGTGTTGCTGGTTATAAAGATTAAATGATTCTATTTATTTCTGAAACTCTGCGAGGTAATGAGTGTTGGGCTAAGAAGAATTCTTTACTAGGCTGATGAATTTCAAGATACTGCTGTGTAAAATGCTTAAAAAAGGAAAATTATTTTTTGTTTTGGGAGACAAGCTGATACTACTCCAAATGGAAATGTTAGCTCCTTTTTGATGAATGGCAAATGGACTCTAGTTCATCTGGCATCTATATTCATCTTGCTATAGGTGCATGACTTTTTCAGAAAGGTACCTGGTGATTGTAGCTGACTTTGGCCAATTTATGCTCTTAAAAAAGGACATGTGTCTTGGCAATGAGGAAGCAGTCAGCTGTAGCAGGTGTTATGTCCAGCTCTGCAGACGCTGGGGACCAGTCAGAGAGAATCCCAAGAGTAGCGGCAAGCCCGATCGAGGGTCCAGAAGTTGTGATGGGCGAGGAGAGAGTTGGAGAATTGCAACTACAGATCTTATCCTTTTTTCAAGATCAAGTCTTCCAGTATCTGAGAGGTCTCCTTGTCTCTAGAGCATAACTAAAAAGGAGGTTTAAATAGTAGCATGTGAGGCTTGCAGTGGATATTGGAAAACTCTAACTCATGGGGGGAAAAAAGCTTATTTGCAACTTCTTCGTGCTCCCTGCTTTTGTGTGTGTGTGACATATGGAAGTCAATTTGCTCTATTTTTCTGCACTGAGGGTTGCAGGAGGTCCCACACTTCCTCCCTGGCATTGGTCTGCAGTAGAGTGTTTGAGCCTTTATTCTGAGAGTTGGAAATGGGTGTGTGCTGTGGTTTTCAAGGCCTGGAGTATTCAGAGAATCCTAGAATGGTTTGGGAATAGTTTGGATTGGACTAGACTTTAAAGTTCATCCAGTTCCAACCCCCTGCCATGGGCAGGAGCAGCTTCCACCAGACCAGGTTGCTCCAAGCCCTGTCTAGCCTGACCTTGAACACTGCCAGGGATGGGGCAGCCACAGCTTCTCTGGGCAGCCTGTGCCAGGGCCTCACCACCCTCACAGGGAAGAACTTCTCCCTCAGATCCCATCTCAATGAAGATAGCTTGAGGAGTTGTTTGGGTTTTTTGGGGGTTTGTTTTTGGTTTGTTTTTTCATATATATTATGAAGGATGCAGAAACTAACCTTCTTTTCAGCTGTATGCCTTACAGACTGTTCCTAGTGTATTCATCATGTCCTAGTCAATATGCTGGCCTGTGGGAGCTTCAGCTGCTCAGTGGCTCTGAAAACTGTGCCCTCTGAATGAGGAGGTTGGAAAACTGATCTTTTGGGGGCCAGGGAAGAGGGTGTTTTGGTTTGTTTTCTTAAGGCGACACCTTCACAGGCCATCCATCTAGACACTAAACCATACAGTCTACAAGGAGGTATCATTGCTTGGAGATCTGAGTAGTTTGTTGAGTAGCTGGGACCCACTTTCAGTAGTAGCTAGTGTGGAATAATAAGTTTTCTTCCTGAATTAATGGAGTGCGGTGCTGTTGTGTGGCTTTGGACTGATGCTGGTGGACCATTTCTGTTTTACCACAGGACCATAACAACAGGCAGTGGTGTGGGATCCCTTTAAGCCTGTCTGTTAATAAGCCTCAGCCTGACAGGGAGGAGGGACAAGCTGCTTCTTGGCAGCTGTTATGAAATGGCAGTCATTACAGCGGAAGATGTCTGTTTGGAGACCACCTGCTTGTTCGCTGCCAGCCGGGAGCTGAATTGAGAGGATCTGTAGTTATCTTTCAGCTGCCTCTGACTCTTCATGTTGGTAGCAACCTTATCAAGTATTTTTTCAATAGCTGACTTGGGTTTAATCTGAGGGAGGATTTTCTTTGTGCCTGCAGCTCTTTTGTGTTCTTGCCTTTAAAAAAGGGAACAAGGGTTATAACCTAAATCAAAGTATTTTAATGTTGGTTTTCTTCTCCCTGTCATTTAGTAGTCTGACCTGAAATGTTCTTTGTTTTTGGGGAAGGAAAGGTTTTTGTGCACCAGGGCTACAATGCAGAGCTGTGATGTGGTTATTTGAGGTCAGTCACCACACCAGAACAGGGCACATGAATCCATCCCTCAGGTCTGTGACAAAGGCTTTCCAGTGCAGCTGTGATGACAGACCTTGCTGGTGAAGGGAAGTAATTGCCTCTGCTGTGTGTTACACCCTGTTCTTGAACGATTTGAGTTACACCAAAAGAATTCCGGCCATAGATGTTTTCTGCTTAAAGATACGTGGGAGGTGTTGTGTATCTAATTGATCTGGAAATGTTAGAAAAACTTTTGCTGTGTCAGTGGGGCTTTGGTATTTCAGCACTTGAACAAAATCCCCTTATGCCAACGCTGTGTGTCTAGGAACAGGGCATTGTTTCTGTCTTCTGGAATTCGCTGTTGAAAAACCTTCATTTGCTGCAGAATCATCTTCTGCTTCTGTCTGCTGTGGAGACTAGTGGAATACTTGTGGGTACGTTGTGATTTCAGTCCTCTGATAGCCACTGCTTGCCGATAAAATGATCTCACTGATTTTGCTGCTTTAAAGATCCATTTTTATGATCTCTCATTAGTGTGCAGAAGTGATTGTGAGGAGTCCTCTGTGTTTCCTTTTGAAGGTGTTTTTTTTTCCCCTTAGGGGGAGCCTCAGGCAAAGTGATGAGTTTCATGTAAAAAAAACAAACCACCAAAACCAACTTACAAGGTAGTGGCAGTGCAAAACAGAAACAGGGGTTCCTCGTGTATTCTTCCTTTCTGATAGCTTCTAGTTGCTGGTGCCTCCTGCAAGAGGTAAAAACAGGTCTGCAGGCACAGGAATAAGTGCCTGAAAAATTTCACATGTCTAAGAATACACTTTCCAAGGTATAATCTTATGTAAAATGGTTGGAGTTTTATCCCAGAGGAAAACACTTGGGGGGGGGGGGGAACTACATTAAGTCAATAAAATAATAGCACCTCTTCTGAATTCTTTCACTTTTAACTGAGGTTGCAGTCTGGGTGTTCAAAGTCACCAGGAATTTAGAGCAGGTGGTGTTTGTTCACAAGTGACAAAGAAACCTTACTAGAAAATCCTAAACCTTTACTATTTTGTCACTGATTTTCATTTTCTGCTTTTGCTGGCTTTGTGTGAAGAGTAAGGTTCTTCTGGTTAGCTTTATTATGCATTGCCTTGCCATGGTTTATTGGATGCTCAAGCTAGGAGCTGAGAGAACCGTAACTAGAGGGTTGTGCTGAAAGCAGTTCTGTTCTCTGTGCCCTGAAGAAGCTGTGGGTTTAAGTACGCTGTGTGGGCTGATAGGTGGATTAATGAAATTCCAAGGTTTTGGATTGGTAATTGAGTTTTTGTTTTGTTTTATGTGATGGCTGTAAGTACAGAATTGCCTTATACTTCTGTTTTGCTGTTAGCAGGAGCCATCAATGCTTGTTCTCTTGTTGTATTTTATGCATGTTTCTGGTACTTTATTAATTTAAGATATTGTGTTGAATTTAGTGGGAAAAGCTTTAAGTCTTTTAACGTGTACAAGTAAAGGCAAATGTGGCAATACATAGCTTTTCCTCCATTAAATGAGTTACAAGGGTTATGAGGGGTTTTCCTCTATTCATTGTTGCCGAAATAAAGACTAGCTTCAGAGAAGATATGCAAAAGCAATTTTCCATTTTTTTATCTTTTTTTTTTTTTTTTTAAATCTTGTGGAATGTGCCTCCCATGCAAAACTAAAGGTTTGCTGTTGCAGTGTACTCTTTCACTGGGCAAAAAAAATTACACCTTTCCAGATACGTATTTAGAGAAAGCATTACTGTGAGGTCAGTAGACAGTCTTAAATAGCTGGGCTTAAGCGGGAACCAGTGGTTTTGCTTTTGGAGCATGTGTAACAGGTATGGCATGTGAATGTGTTCAAGACCAAAGCTGTCTCATTAATAGAAATAGGATTACTTAATATGAAGTCTGGCGCTTGGTCTGCTATGCTTTTGTTTTCACATTTGTGTGAAACGTAAATCTGTAGTTTGGCAGAGAACTGTTTTGCCTTTACCTTTTAATTTAGTTTTGAGTGCATTCTAATTGGCATAACTGAGCTAAAAGCTCAAAGTTTTATTCAGACTTTCATAAGGTAGTGGTGATGCCGATTCTGAATGTGCAAAATGATGGGAGATTCACTACATGTGTGCACATCCTGGGTGTGATAACCACTTTTAAGCTATACAAAAAACCAACATGAGAAATCTTGTATTAACAGATACAAAAATACACAGCAGTATGTGCACATTGGTAATCATCCTTAGTTTAGCAACCCTTAGGACAATGATAAAAAGGGTTCTGGCAAAGTTAGCGGTAGGATTTAAGTATGATTCCATGCCTCCCTGGTGGAGAATTTTAGCACTGGTAACAAAGGCAGAGAATGGCACCTTCCTGCTGAGCTGCAGCACCTGGTGAGTTAATGCAGAGGCTGGGAGGGATTTTTTAGGGAAGCTGCTGGGTTAGTGGGAGCATCTGAGCGAGTCATGCTCCATTTTACCGATCCTGTCTGAAACTGGTAATTCCAGCAAAAGATGGCCTGAACTGCTCTGGTGAATTCAGCTGCAGCATCCAGAGCTTCTAGTCCAAAAGTTATAAAGAGAGTAGATGCTAGCTGGGAGGAGTCTGAGGGTCGAGAGGGTTTTTAAATGCCTAGGAACATAAGTGTTTTAACTGAGTTCTAACAGGAATAAAGACTGCTGCTGCTGCTTCGTATCTCTGTGGTAGCTGGTGAGAATTGATAGGAGTTACTAATTGGACAAAATTGCCACAATTGCCTGCTTTTCCTCCCTAGGAGAGTGGAAAGTGCTAAAATAAAAATGCAGCTTTGGAAAGTAAACCTTTTGTTCTTTATAGGCTGATATTTCTATGTTAGGTTTTGTGCATAGGGCAGGACACCTGAAGAGCCTTAAAGGTATTTTTATCCCGTGAGGTGTAGAGATTTAATTTCTCTACTATTTGTCTCTTAACAAGTGCTGAAGGAACTTGCATCTTGAGATGGTCAGGTGTCATCAAATTCTAATGGAAAAGTGTAATATGTTTGACTGCGTAGATGGTGCTTTGGAAAGCTTAGTTAGATCTGCCTGCTATTTAAGACCACTGCTTTATACTTTTGAGGGTTCTGCCACTCAAAAAAAAATAAATAAGGGGCTTTAGAAGAATCTGATTTGAGGGTAGAGCCAAAGTTTTATGGCTCAGAGTGTTAGCGAGGTAAGCTACTGGGGTAGCGGATATTGTTCCATATTCTAGGTGAACAAGTAATGTTTCTTCTACTGGAATTTTTCTGGCAGGGTGAGGTGATTACAGCCAGTATGTGAATACAGTTATATTAAGAGTAATAAAAACTCAGCAGCCGTGGAATGATTTTTTTTATATTCCATGTTGTGATTTCCCTCTTATATATATATGTGTGTATCTGTATGTGTTTTGTTAGAAGTACAACCTTGGGAAGAGCTTAAGTTGTCACAAAGCGTTGCAAATGTAGTTATCCAGATCGGGCTTTTTCTTTGTACATGACATGCTGTATAGTACCAAATGGATGCTTTAAGGATTAATGTATTAGTTGATTACGGAAGGAGCTTCTAAAGTTGCTGTAGAGAGCTTTGTATATGTGTGGGCCAGAGTTAGTCTGTTTCTTTATTAGGAACTACAAATCAGATTGAAGTAGTTAATCTCTACCTGTATAACAGCTCTGGCTGTGGTGAGCTGATGATGATTTACAGATACATGCTATATTTCAAGACTAAAGCTAGAAAAATGTGTTTGCTACTCCTTCTGTGTATGCACACCCATTTCCCAGCCATGCAGTGACCCTTAAACCTTTAAACTGTGCCGTGCAACTGTTAAAGTCTGGAGAATTAGTAAACCAGTCTTCCATGTTTTGTTATCCTTTATCCTAAGTGTGGGGTTTTTTGTCTTTCAGTATGTTCAAGCAGATGCTCCTACCAATAAAACACTGGCTGGCCTGGTGGTGCAGCTGCTGCAATTCCAGGAAGATGCCTTTGGAAAACATGTCACCAATCCTGCCTTCACAAAGCTTCCTGTGAGTATTTGGGTTAACCCACTGCTGTTACTGCAGCATATTTTGTTCTTCCTCCTGTACTGGGGCTGCTGCTTGCTTCCAGGTGATGGGGAGATCGGTGCTTTGTCTGAGGCTTTGGTCGATGCATCCTCTGAAAGGGATGAAATATCCTGCTCCATAAAAACAGATTTTCAGTGTAAACTAGCTGATTTTCCTTACATTTGGAAATGATTTCCTGAATACTGTGGAAATGTTTTAATTTGTACTAAATGTAAGCTTGTAAATGTTAAGTAAAATCTGTTTGGACTGATGAATCGTAGACTGACTGAATAATACATGCTTCCCAAAGCAAACAGGTTTCTGTTGGGCGTTTCTAGTGACTAAACTTCAAACTGAAACACAGAGGAATGGCTTTATGGTATTCTCTAGTAGCACACTGTTACCTAATTAGTCTGGGACAGTTTTCTAGTCACTCAGGATATTGGTATGCAGAAACATTTCTACAGGTTGCTTATTTAAAATTCAAACTTGGTGCATCGTTAGCAGCTCTACCCCAGTGATGGTGGTCAAAGATCAGTCCCATTGTGCTTAGAACTGTGCCAACCACCGAAATAATTTTGGCCACTTGAGCGTGAAGCATAAACAACTGATAGCGGGAAGAGGGATGCAGCACATGGTAAGGGCAAACTAACAAAGGGATTTCAGTTGTGAAGGACAGGGACTGCAGCATGGTGTAAAGCGCCCAGCTGGCTGATTCAGGGTAGGTTTTGTGGTCCAAGACAACTGTTGTGTGTGTAAGCGTTGCGGACGTCAGCAGGATGGTCTTTACTTATTTTTGGCTACAGAATGCTTACTGGGAATCTAAGGTGCAATCTAGGGTTCTCTTTAGATGAACGTACTAAGTTGGAAATACCTGTAACTGATAACAACATAATAAATTGAAGTTGTTCTGAAACCTGTTGAAAATACTTGTTTCTTCTTTGGTTCATCACTTACAGAATAATGTATTTTATTGTATTATGGTGTAGGTTTTGTGGTTTTGGCGGTTTTTTTAAATGTTTTATTTATCTAAGTACTGCAAGGAATGTGAATTTGTGTGTGTTCTTCAGGAGAGGGTTTTCAAACTTATGGGGTAAATTCACTGAAGTCACTAAGGTGATGAAACTTAGGACTTGGTGCTTAGGAACACTCAGAAGCACCATGAGATGCTGTTAAAATGTAGTTCACCATCTCTTCCATTCTGCTTACTGGATACCTCAGGGGTAATGAAAAGCTTTAGGGACAGAGGTGAACATTGTGGTGCTTTGTTTTGATATGGCAGTGTAGACCATAAAACTACCTGTGTTCAACAAGTCGATAAACCATTTGAGCGCTCTCAAGTGTTAAATCAATTTATCTTATCTTAAAAATGGGTCATAAAGATTTCAGTGGCATTGTAAATATGTTGTTCCTGTGTTTAACTATTCTTACTGTTTTGAAGGTCTAATCTGATCAAATTTGCTCAGCTTAAGTTTACAGCAGTTGGAACTCTGTTCTCAATTATGTCTGACGAGACAGCTCATCAGGATGTCTTCCTTTGTATTGTTTTTAGGAGAAAATGCAGTATGTACTCTCAAGACAAGGTTAGCATTCATTTTGTTCAGACATGTAATTCAAGGTGCTGGTTCAGGCTGCGAAGGAGGCTCTGTTATTCACCGTATCACTTTGAAGACATGCTGCATGCTTTAGTTTTACAGGATTTTGTCTGACTGGGGAAGAGAGGTAGAGCGAAGGGATGTCTTTAACTGACATTGTTAACGTCCAAAAGTAATTGAAAAGCTATTGCAGGCTTCCAGAGAAAAGAAACCAAATGAAGCTACAAAAGGTTAAATAACCTCTTGAACTAAAGTTCAAACATTTTACTCGGTGCCTTGAGTGGATGCAGTAGACCTTGCATTTGAGAGAGGGTTGTTAATTCTGTGTTTAAGCTCCTGCTCTTGGCAAGGGGTCCATACAGAACAGGGTTTATTAATAGATATGGATTAAATGAAGGACTGTTCATTTGCATCAAGACATGCTTAACTTCCGTGCATGTCTTCTCATTATTGCATTTAAATACATTTTGTCTAACCTTAATGATGCTCACAAAATAAAAAGCTGGGTAATCTTAAAGGCAATTTTGCATGTTTCGAATAAAGGTTATAGTAAGGTACTAACTCTTACAATAGCTAATTGTAAAATTGTTCCTTGGTTCTATGGTTTTGGGTACAAATGTGAAAGGAGTCTGATTTATTGACAGCTGCATCTCTTCTGTGAAGTAGGTTTTGTCTAGTTGCTAAAAGCAGTTTCCTTTTATGCAAGTAACAACCACTACAGTTTAATGAGAGGGTCTTGCTAGTGTCTGCTGACACTTTGAAAAAGTGATTTATGTCTAAGAGATGTGTATCGTGGTTTTCATGGTTAAGTTTTGGCTGAACTTCCTGGGTACGGTCATAAAATCCTGACTTGCCAGAGTGGCTTCAGTTTCTTGTGCTGCTACGGATGCCAGGGATCACCGAACCATATGCCAGCCTGTGGGACCTGCCAGAATTCTCCTAGGAATGTAGACAGGTGGGGCCTTGTCACTGAAAGATTTATGTGGGCTGCTGATGGGAAGCTTGATAAAGGTGATGCTACAGCAGCAAGCCCTGAACTTTTGAAGTAGGGCCTGTTGGGTAGATGGGGCTGTTTGCCAAAATACAGATGGACTTTGCTGTGGTCATTTCACTCAGTTGTGTGAAGTGTGTGGCATGTCAGCAAAAAGGGAAAGGTCAATTCTGGATGACCATATATATGTTGGACAGCTGGAGGTAAGTAAAAGTGACTTGCATACTGGTATTGTCAGTGGGCCTTCTTTTTTCATGTTGAGATTTTGGTTTTCTTTTTAGAGCAGCTAGTATTTGCTTATGTGTTTGTAAACCAAAGCTTGTATTCTCAGAGCCAAGTCTTATGGCAATAAAATCATTCAGTGTGTTAAAACATTTTGGTTTAGTTAAAGCTTCTGATCAGAGACTTCTTCATGCATAGATGACTTCAGTTTCCTGAGAACAGCTCTGAAACGTATGCAGCCTGTAAAACTGGCAACTGCTTGTATGGCAGCTCTGAGCTCTCTTTATTATTTTCAGTGCACAGCAGGGCTCTAAGCAGATGGTGGACCAGGAGCAGTTCTGTTCTGGTTGAATGCTTATGAAGGATCTTTTTTATGTTGTTCTTGGACACTGGTGGATTTGATATCACACAGAACTGCTTTGCTTTCCATTAGCTAAGGAAGGCAATGTTTCGTTTAGATCCCATGCTAGCATTTTAGCTGCCTGCCTGCAGGTTGAGTTTAAAATGCTTGTCAGCAGTGCAAAGACTGTAATTTGATGTTTATTCTGTGTTAGGAAATATTCCTGAGGTGTAATATAAAATATTTTCTTTAAAGAAAATTACCTGTTCTGGTCTAAAAAGTAAGAAGCAAGATCAGAAACATTTCTTATGCAGAAAAACTACTAGGAAGTCTCTGGTTTGTGCAGTGTCTCCAACATTGTGCTTTCTCTAGTTCCAGAAGAAAGCAGCCTACAGAAAGCTGCTGGTAACTGCAGACAGTCATTAAACACCTCCCCAAGTTCTGTTTTGTGAATTGTACAAGTTTATTTTTACTGGGAAATGCAGTATAGACCAGTCTTGGTCTGTATGCGTAGTATGCATATGGAAAGATAGGTTTAATTTGCTATTCCAGTAAATAGTTGGGTATCTTGCACTGGATGGAGCAACATCAGAAGAGCTCAGCCTCAGGAGTGCCCCTTGACATGGGCATTGTACGCTTCTGGTGGGTCTGGGAGATGTGGGGCTGAGCTTCTGTAGGTGGGTCCTTCCTTGTCGATGCCAGGGGATGCAGACTTCATAGAATCCTAGAATGGTCTGTGTTGGAAGGGATCTTGAAGACCATCTAGTTCCAAACTCTCTGCACTGGAAGCTGCTGTAAGATCTCCTTGGAGCCTTCTCTGCTCAGATTGAACAAGCCCAGCTCTCTCAACCTGTCTCCATAGCAGAGGTGCTCAGCTCTCAGAGCATCTTTGTGGTATATTTAAAGTCCTGATCCTGTGTAAAAGTTGCCAAAAGCAGCTTGATGCTGTTGTCAATAGAAAGAAGTGTTCAGAGTAAGTCTCACTTGAGTGCATGTTTGTAAAGGAATTTTTGCATCTTGCAAGAACTTAAAAACAAACAAACCACTTTTTTGTGGTTTAGTCAAATTGACTTACCAGTCGTATCGGATAACAGTCTGTTACTGTAAAGAGAAGGCCTGGAGGACAGAAACAGAGTTTTCATTTGTTCTGTTATCACATCATGTGTTGCTTTCTTTATCCATGGTTAATTATCAATGCTGTTGCACACTTTTCTTCCTGTTCCAAGCCTGATAAGGTGCACCTCATACGTGTCAGTACTCTGCAGATGATGGTTGAAATAGATCATGGTGTTGCCTTTCTCTGGTGCTGGCTTCAGCTGAGCTGTCCGGTTGTCATCAGTTTTGAAGATGACTCTGACAGCACCTTACTTTTCCTGAGCACATGCAAACATCCTGACCAGAAATATTGTAAAACAGCAGAGATAATTAATTCTAAATTAAAATTTTATCAGAGAACTGTTCCTTTCTGTGTAGGAAACAGTCCTGCTTCTTTAATAACCTTTTAGAGAAAGGCCTTGGTGGGACTTGGTAGAGGTTTTCGGTCTTCTCGTGCTCCTGTCTGAATTGCAGTTCTTGAATTTGGAGAATGTGTTTATGAGTACATGACTCGGCTGTACTCTGCTAAAACTGGTAGTGAAGAATTGAGTTGGATTTAGTCTTTTAGGGCAGATCTGCATGGTGACCTTCTCAGATTTTCACAAACAACTTTTTGTTGTGGTAGAGGAGGAGGGATAGGAAGGGGGAGCTTTAGGAGGCGTACTGACTGTGGAACTGGGTTTTTAGATGTTCATTACTAATGATTGGGTTTGGTTTACTTAATACACATGAGGAGCTTCTTAACTGTTACCTCTGATTTTAGGTTTAATTGACTATGAAATGCATGTTCAAAGAGTAGTTTGGGTTTCTGTTTTACAGCTGTACAAGGAATTTTGTGCAAGCTACTTGCATAAGGGAGGGCTCAGATCTTTCAAATAGGTCAGGTTCTGCTTGCAAACATGAAGAATTCTACTTAAACCAAATGGATTTAATCTTCTCAAAACATTCTTAAAAGAGAATGTAAAATTCCAGAAGGGATTAATTTAAAAATTAAAACCATGCATTTGATAAGTTAGATGCCTTAACCTCAGCTAACAAGTATGTATTTGTTTAAAATAATTACTTAAAAGTCAATGTCACTGTGTTTTCACTTTTCTGTTGGGTTCTAGGCAAAGTGCTTCATGGATTTCAAAGCTGGAGGTACATTATGCCACATTCTTGGTGCTGCTTACAAATTTAAGAATGAACAGGGCTGGTAAGTTTTTAGTTTTGATTTATACACTTTTTGCATGAATTAAGCACATGAAATGCCTATGCAAACTACTTAAAAGTTTAGTACTTTCTGGAGGATTGGGTGGGCAAGGGAGTTGGAGACGGGAAGAGGAAATTTTTTTCTTGTTTTGCTGATGGTAGTTTTTTTGAGACACCCACACAGACTTCTAAATTTAAAGATAAGTTGTCCAAGTTTAAGGTCTTGAGCCTGTAGACTGGGAGTTAATTATAAGCTTCAGGCTTTTTTCTTGGCCGGTTACCTGCTGTATGACTCGCCAAGTTAACCAGTATCATAGAATCACTGTTTCCCATCTATAAGATGTAAGTCTGTTACTGGATTGAGTGTAGAGTTTAGTTATAATAGGAAAACATGAAGCACTGCATAGACACTAATAAATCATAAGTTTTCCATTGCTCATCAACCTCCATACATGCGGAGTGTAAGTTGTTAGAGACACTGCCCACGTAGTGATTGGCACCAGCATTAAAACTATTCATGTGGCATCCCAGTAGTGTTTTGACCTGTGTGTTTCTAAGTTATAATCCTCTTTCCAAGACAGCAGTAGCATAAATTACTGTATTTGAGAACACTGGAAAAAGCGTGAGGATGAAAAGTCAATAAATAAAAGCAAGCAGAGATTGCTCTTGCACATACATTTAAATAGTTTCTGATTTGAGGCTGTGCAGACAACAGCATTCCTGGAATTGACTCTGTTTCTGTTACAAGAACAAATTAAAAGGCAAAAATGAAGTGGTTGGTTGTTTTTAGGAGCTATTTATACACTTTATCAGCTAAATGGTTTCTGAGGTGGGTGTATCAGAAAGCTGGTATGAGTATGCTGCTCTCAGGGTTTTTCTTACTCCAGTATTGCAAGCACTTAAGACGTGATGCAGGTTTGTCATATTCTGTGTGGCGTATCTTTCAGGCATGTCTTGCTGCCTCTTTGCCTTAAGATAAAGGAGTTAAATGGCTCCTACTTTATGAGTATTTCTTTTTTTCCCCCAACAGATTTAGTTTTCAGTTGTTGAAATTTGTCAGCAAAACTCGTATATGATTGCCTCCTCTCTTCTCACTCTCTTGCCAATTCCTCGAAACTAGTGTGGGTAGTGTCTTGTGTTTGTGCATGTGGGATGTAGAGGGAAGTGATACTTGAATTTAACTCTGAAGATCAGACTTAGAGCTTGGAATGTATCCTTCACTGACTCAACCAAATAATATGTGGTGTTTTGCCTGAAATATGATTTTTTTTTTTTAATGGTATGCATTGTCGCTCTTGCTTAACCTGTTTGTGAATGATCTGTCTTATAGGAGAAGTACCTTTCCTCGTCATAATAGGTATGTCTGAAAAATGCACTTACCCAGTGCAGCTGGACATACCTTGTCTATCACCGCAATTCAAGTAGTTGTTTGCTAAAACCTGTCAGAGGGTATCAGTTAAACTAAGGATAGGAAAAATTTGTGCTACTATTTTATCTAAATGGGCAACTAAAAAAATGTGAGATTTCTTAGTGTATTTGTGTGCTTCTCTTAAATTACGGGTTTCAAAAGGCAGGAATCTGGGAACATATATAGCATTCACTGAATACATAATGCAGATTTTAGGCAACCAAACGTAAGAATTTTGTTCAGACTTCCATGCCTTAAGTGTTTTCGTTTCATAGGGACTGAAGTCTTTATTAAGTGTCTAGGTTAGTTTGTGTTTATTAAGCATTTATATTCCTTCCTTGAAACCATTACCTTTGATGAGCATGTCTTGAATACAGACTATGAAGCTGTCAGTAGCTGAATTCTGGAAAAGTGACTCTTAAAATCCAATGTGTTACATGTGTAAAATACCTCATTAAATTGTGTTGTGCAGGGAACTGCCTGACTTTTCAATGACTGGCAATGTAAACTTTTCAGCATGCGCAACTCTATTTAAAGAGGTCATAACTTTAATTTAAAATTGAAAGATACAAAGGTATTATCTTCAACTTGTCTGTTGTGTCCCTAGTGTGGAGAGCCTGTGATGATGACTGTTGGCATAGAAACTGTCATTCACTAATAGTGACTATTTCTAGTGCTGCTCAACATGGCAGCATACTTAACACAGTGCCACCTGTGTGGGCAGCTTCTTTGTGAAAATGCTATAGACCCTCAAGTGAATAAAAACATGGTGATCCCACCTGAAGCGTCTTTAACTGAGTAGTGTTACAATGGTGTGATGCCATCCTTGTGTGGTAATGGGTTTTGCGATAAAACTTAGTCTTGCTTTGGTTTACCTTCATTGCATATTTTTAAACTTTAAAAATTGATTTGATGTGTTACTGGAAACAAGTATGTGTTTAAAAGAAACTCAGTAGATATGGGCACTGGAATAAATTCTTCTATTTTTAAGTTGGAGTGTTAACTAAAAGCATATCAGTCACTGCATGGTAATTACGTGCATGGCTTTTTCACTCTGTTAAGTGTACTGGATATTTATTATATGCTGAAATCCCTTCTGCTGGTATTGCCACTGCTGAACACCAGCTCCACACTCCAGCTAAGAGTCTTTTCAGACTCTAGGAACAACTCTTTCCAAAACTTGAGAGGTACAGAAGTGCACCAGAAAGTGTTTTACATCTGAGAGTCAACAATCTGTTTATTTAAACATATCATGCTTTGTAAAAAGCTGAATTCTTAAGGGCCAGGCATCTGTTTCAGAGGCTCCTACAGTGCCCTGGCCTGTGTGATACTGCCAAGACAGACACCTGTGGGTGCTGAGCTTGGCGAGGGACTGGTGTTAGTGCTGTTATTGTCCTAGATGCTTTTGAGTTGGTTCATCCATGATTTCTGAACATGTGTATTGCTCAAGTGCATACAGCAGAATGTTTTTTGGGGGGCTCTTGTGCCTCTTCCCAGTAGAAAGTCTCAGATTTTGTGTTATCTCCCCCATTTCTGATAGACAGTTAAATCTGCATTGTTATTTCAAGAAATTTGATTACTTTGTCACTGAAGCAGCAAACTTTAAAATATCAGAGTCCAATAAAGAAGATGATGAAGTGTTGACATGGATTATTAGCTACCTGTGTGTTGGGTGTGGGGTGGCTTGTTCTCAAATAGATAAGGAGTTTAGAAAATACCAGGCAGACAAATTGCTGTGTTTTTCCTGGATTAGAATCTGGGACTGGTGGATGGGTGCAACTAGAAGGAAGAGAAACGTGAGAGCTTGTTCATGAATTTTCTCATCTAGTTGTTGAAATCCATTGTGAGCATTTGATTATCTCTGTTTAATTATCCTTTGTGACTGTAGTGGAATGCACGACCCTGCTACAGGGTTTTGTTGGACAATGTCAACCTTCATTTTTCCCTACACATTTCACAAATCAGTTGCATTTTGTTGATTTGGTTCATTGTGATTTTTCTTGCTTGTGGGGGCTGCCAAGTGAAGCAAAAATATTTGTGATTGTGCTTTAAGTGTTCTTACATAGCTACCATGATACACTTGTTTTTTTATGTGGAACATGAAAGATTCTTGACTACTGAGTGGAGGAGAGTTGAATTTAATACTTTTGAATAATTTTCCTTAACAGGCGGAGGTTTGACCTGCAGAATCCATCCCGAATGGATCGAAACGTGGAGATGTTTATGAACATTGAGAAAACACTAGTGCAGGCAAGAAACTCATACATAAAACTGCTCTCCTGGGAAGGGATTCACTAGTTTTTATGTGCCTTAGTTGTGACCCACTGAAGAATTTCATCCTGGATTTCTGTAGGAATGTTATACTCCCTCTCCCACCCATTTTAGTCACAATTCCATGTAATCACTTGAAAACTTCAGAATGTTTTCATTGATGTTCTTCAGATATGTACTGGGTGAGAACCACCTCTTTGTAAGGTAGGAGAAAGCATCCTGAGTGCCTCTGGCTTCCTGTGAAAGCAGCACCCTTAGGATTGAGTAACTATTTCTGTATATACCCATTCAGTTGTTGACTTTCTTGAGACTCAGCTTTATACAGGTGTCTTTTTTCCGGTTAGGGTACATTTTAGATGGTGTCACTTGCTATATTTTTTTTTTTTTTTCAAACTCTAAACCCAGGCTTAGTGCATAATATCAAGATGTAATTTGCAGGTGCATATAATAAATAGAAATGGGAGGAAGGACAGCAAAAAGAAACAGTCTTATGATAAAACTATTGCCATTGTATGGTGGTTTCAATACCTAATAGAGTACATAATTAAAATTCAAAATGAAATTAACATATACCTGTTGATATTGTAGAAATGGATGAATCTGCATTTTGGTGATAGGGGACAGATTGAGACTTGAAAGTTGACACACAGGGAACTTAAATTCCTACTCAAGTGAAGTCTCCTAGAGCCTGTCAGAAATTATTTGAAAACAAAGACATCATTTGCATTAAAAATGTTACAAAAGCAGGAACATGAGAACAGCTGTACTGGGTCAGATTCCCTTTGTCTGCAATGATGTCTTTGTTAGAGCTAACAGCAGGTCTGTGGAGACCGGAAAGAAATCACGATGGGACGTTGGCAAGGAGGAAGAGGAAAGAGTGCTATCAGAAGGGTTTCTGGAGCTCCTTTTAGTATGCCATATCAGAAACTGACACATATTCCTTTTGAGCTCTTTCAAGCATTGGTGATCTTAATAGGAATTTTTTGTAATTGTCCCAGGTGGCCAACTAATTTCTTATTTGACTTCCTATTCTCTCCACTAGAACAACTGTCTGAGCAGACCAACCATCTACCTCATTCCAGATATAGAATTGAAGTTGGCTAATAAATTGAAGGATATTGTCAAACGTCACCAGGTAAATGTTAAATAGTGTATCTCAAAGAATGTATTTTGGCAGTTGCAAGGTAAAATGTATTTGCCTAACCTCAATATATCAGTTACATCTGGAATCTGTCGGACAACACAGGGCAGCAGCAGCAAATCACTTAAGACCGAAAGTTCACAGTTTCTAAAATGCAAGTAGTAGTTATCCTCACAAGGAGATTGAATCCTAACTCTGTTCTTAAGTAAATCTGAAATTGCTGTTGAAGTGAAAAGTACTTACGTCATCTCTGAGTTGGCTGCAGGCCTGAACTGATTTAATGCTCAGTACCTGTTCATACAAAGCAGAAGCTCGCTGATTGTCCAGACCTGAGGCCAAAGAAGGTAGTGTGTAATACAGCTGTTCTGGATCTGTGGGGACAGCATAAGGAAGCTTTGATCTGAACATGATTGCTACCTTTTTCACTTTATTTTACTTGGTCTTTTTTTCTTGCTTGTGCTGAAAAGAGCACGAGCAACAGCAGTCTCTTCCTTGTTAGGGAGTCAGCATATTACTAAGAGTGTCAAGCATCGTGCTATTGTAGTTTATTAAACTAAATGATGAGCTGAGTAAGATTAACAGTTTCTTCTGTTAAAAACAGTCTTCACTTGTCTTGAGAGAAATATCCAGGAATGTGAACTTGAGATGGTCCGATAGCCTTTTGTGTTATGGCAGTACACAGAATAAACTTTCTTTTCCAGATTAAATGTTTATCCTGTGTTGTGATTATGAGCCGTCATCTCAATTTCAGTTGCATAATTTTTCACAAATTAATCAGATGAATCAGGATGTTTGCTATTGCTTAAATTAGGAGTTAATGATTGTTTTCCTTTCATGAAGGGATTCTATAGTGAATTTAAAGCATACTATATCCACAAATTATTTAAGGGACATTTAAAGCAGGTGGTTTTGTCTCTAAAGGGATGTGAAGAACTGCAAACAGAATTTATCCCTAATTTTAGGCTTTGGGCTTTCTTCCTTTGCCCTGCTTCTGAATTTTCATCTTATATTTGTGTTGCTGCCTGTGCTTGCTCACTATTTTTATTATTACTATGTTTTTTTCACCCTGCTGTTATCTTTTTTCTACCCTATGCCTGGTACTTGTAGCTCCCTCCTCCCTGTTATTTCCAGGTCTTCACTGCTCTGACTGCAGCCTGTGCAGAGACTTGCATCTCTTGTCCCAGCACAGTGCTGGTGTGATCTCTGGCTCATAAAAAGAGATGTTAGTGAGATATTTGTTCTCTCTGCTGCTGAAGGTGCTGCTACTGTTTCTGATTTTCTTTTACTGATTAAGTGTTAAGAATTCTTCTGAGAAGAGCCAGAACAATAAATTAGGAACTTTAAAGCAGGTAATGAGTGAGATAATAGCCTTTATATCTGTGGGCCTCAGGAGAAGTGTTTTGTCCTGTTATGTCTCTAGCTTCTAGTCACATTCAGTTTAGCAGAGGCAGGGAATAAATCTTAACAGCTTACATCTTTCAGAAAGCTGTTTCAGTGCAAAGCTATCCCTCCCTTTGTTTTCAGTCAAGATAGCATCTAAGAGACTTCATCTATTGTGTACTGGGTTTTTAAAAGCTCTGTAGGAAATAGATGAAACTTACTGATCTGATTCACAAAGCTGGATGAGAGCATCTTTAGCTCATGGGGGATGAAAGGAGAATTTCCCTTACTGTTCCTAAAACACTTTGCAGGTGGTTCTTCACTCATTCCTTTCCTTTTGAACACTTCTAAATTCTTACTTTACAGCCTTCTTCCTGTTGCTCAGACCACCTCCTCTCCTTTTACCCAGTTCTGTGAACTCTTGTTGGTGTGGGAACTCTTGCCCTTTAGCCCCTGATACTGGAGTAGTCTCCAAATATTGCTACTGTAATGCAATGCATCTTCATGGTTTTTTTGATTTTTTTTTTTTTTTAATTTTCCTCCTTTTGTGCTCTCTGCTGAATAAATTGTTTGCATATTGTTGGCTGTAACCTATCCCATGGGCTCTTCAGTCCTTTAAATAAATCCGTCAAGTATGTGTGGAATGTAAATTTTGAATAACATTTTCACATAAACTATTCCAAAACATAGTTCCTCTGCAAAGAGCCGGCAGACTGTGAACTTCTGCTGTCCTTGGAAATTACTCTTTACACAGGGAGTCTGGAGGTGTGTCTGCAGCATGTGGGAGAATCCTTAGTTCTCCTTGTAAGGAAAGGTCAAGGTTTTCTTGACTGGTCACACTGTTCAGTTATTTAACAGATACTGTATAGCAGAAGGTTTTTTTTGCATGGTGATGTAGATCCAACGGGATATAATTGTGGCCTGCATCCATATGTAGAGAAATTACTTTACACTTTTGTTGTGGCATTAACATACATACACATGAGAAGTACATCTGTTGCTTCTCATATGTCAAGAAAATGACAGCAAGAAGAAAAAGCATTCTTGTGGTTGAGTATTTGGCAATCAGTGGTATCATGTTGGTGTATTTCTGATTTATTCTCTATGTTCTATGGCTTAGGAGGCTTTTTTAAAGAACGGGTGTTTAATCTGTCTCTTGACATACAGCCTTCCTCAGATCCTAGGGTGGTTCTATTCAAGGCAGCCATTCCTAGCTAAGTTTTTCATATACTTTATGTACATTGTCATATTTAGAAATTGTTTTGAACCAAAATGTGTACTTAGTGGAAAAAAGTTTCAGATGCTTTTTTACAAAATATTTACCAATAAGTTTATAGGAACTGATAGTCAAACAATTTGCAGTGAGAACTGGGGCAGATGGAGCTAGGGGGAGGAAGGATTTGAGAAGAAAGCAAGAGATGACAGTAGTTTGGTGGCAGTCTCAGAGTAACTGCCTTTTTCTGTCATTTTTTAGAGGTGGTATTCACTGTAGTTGCATTCAAGTTAGCTGTGAGTACTTCTGGGCTGCATGGGATGTGAGTAAAAAGAAGCAGCCAAGAAGTTTGGAGAAATTTGAAGTTTCCAATGCTGCTTCTTCTTCTTTTCCCCCTTTCCCACAGGGAACAGTAACTGAAGAGAAATCGAAGGCTACCCACCATGTTTATCCAAGTCCTACCTCAATGGATGATGGTAAAGTTGCTTTTTAATTTTTAAGTGGAATTAGCCTTGTGACTAAATTCTGTTAGCAGTTACAAGAACTTTTGCACACAGTATGTTTCTAGCCTGCTCCTGAGAACCATTTGGGAGATATTTCTAGGATTAACAACTCCAAGAAAATTACTCTGTCCTGCGTCTAACTACTGGGTGTAACAGTTATATTTTTAATGGATGCAACTTCTTCAGATTAAGGTGTGTAGCACTGACTGCTCTTCAGTGATTGCATGGAAAATTGAGATGTTAACTTGCAGGCTGAAGGAGAGAAAAGCTAAGGGTCTGAAAGAACTTAAAAAAGAAAATAACAGATTAAAATTAAAAGGAAGCACAGTGAAAGTAGGGGGTTTAAAACTAACATTTCTATTATTTTTATTTTATTGCTTCCATGGTAGCCCCCAGTGCATAAGTGTGGGTCAGAATATTGAGTGGAACACGATCAGGAATCAGCTAGATATGAGAAAGGTAGATGCTAAAGTAAGTGAGAATTAATACAGTAACACTTAGACCTGATAAAGGAAGATTGTGGGGGTTTTATAGTGCAGTCTCCTATATGAAGTACATAGGTTCCTCAAAAGCAATTTAACAGCTGCACCTTTCAGTAAATAACAAAAAATTGCTCTTTATTTTTTCTATCTGAAATGCATTTAATTTTCTAGCGAGTCATTGCTGTTGGAGTCTGAGCTTCACCGGCATAAATCTGATTTTTCTGATATCCCCTGGCATCTTACGGCCACTAGATGGAAGTATTCACTTCTCTATAGGAACCATTAGATTTTACAAACACAGGTAGGGATAGGACAATGGGGAATGGCTTAACTGACAGAGGGCAGATTTAGATGAGATTTGAGGAGGCAACTCTTCTGGGTGAGGGTGGTGAGACCCTGACACAGGTTGCCCGGAGGAACTGTATCTGCCCCATCGCTGTATGTGTTGTAACAATTCTGAGCATCAAAATTAGTAATATAACATACTCCTCAAAGTTAGCATCCAGGTTACTAATGCGACATCTGTCATGCATGCAGAGCGCTTGCATGTTTAGACATAGTAAAGGTAATGCAGGCAAGTGTATTAGTTCAGGCCACGCTGTTGTAATTGTTCTACAGTAGACTTCTACCAAAGATGGTTACAATAACTTTACTATTACTGGCTATGGGAAAGCAAAATAGTGTGTAATGTGCTTTACAATCTGAATCTGATGCTAGATCTCTTTCTCCTTTGCAGATGAATGGTTGAGACCTGTGATGAAAAAGGATAAGCAGGTTCTGGTACACTGGGGCTTTTTTCCAGACAGGTAAAGTGGGGGAAGCAAGCAGACCCCAAATTTTACTTAAGTTTTTGTTGGAAAAGTCTTGATTAAAACTTGCAAATAGTCAAATCTGTGTCCTCAAGCAAGCTGTGCCTTTAGCTTACTGAGCCTTACCTCTGCTGAATGCAGTGCTCTGTGGTTAATGGTAGTGAGCCCACATGGGGAGTGTCAAGCTGTGTGGACTTCAACTTTGATCTTTCCTTGATCTGCAGAACATGACAGCCTCAGACCCATCTTCAGACTAGCTCGTCTAAAAATTTGACTAAATATACAGTACTGCATTCCTCTTGTTTTGATTCTGAATTCTTCTACATCACCTCTGATATTATGAGACAAGGAGTGGTTGTCTTACAGAGTATAACGATGCAGTAATTTAGTCTTGCTACCATTTATCTCAATGTCCAAAGTTTGAAAAGACTACTTGTTGTCTTATAATCAGTTTGTGATACTGGCAGATGGTGAAGGTTAGGAAAAGAGAGTATTTTCCTGCAGAGCCATTGGTAAGGTTGCAAATTGAACCAGACTTTTAAAGGGTAGAGTGAGCCTTTCCTTAAAGTTGGTAAGACTTTAAAGCCAAAAGAGTTAACTAATCTCACCTAGTTAGGCTTCCGTGGATGGAGAGGTTTCACTCCTTAGGTTGCCTTTAGTCAAGTACAAGTGACTGGTGAAAGCACGTATTTGAGAAAGCTGTCCTGTGGTGCTAGTTGATGTTAAAAGGTAGTATACGTACAGTTAGTAACTTAAATGTATTTGTAATGACTGGTTTCTGAGTTCGGGTTATGGAAAACCTCATCTGGTTGATAACCTGGCATTGACTTCTATTTAAATAACTTTTCCAGGTGTCATGGTTTCACCCCACCCAGACAGGTGGTGAAACCACGACACCAGGGTACTAAAATCTGCCCTGATGTCCATGCACAGAATTCTCAGGAGCCGTATGCATATTTCTGTGGAAGAGTGCAAACAGTCACACTTAAACTTCTTCCTTCATACAGATGAAAAACCTTTAAATATTTCTGTTCATATCGTATCAGTAGTTAAGTTTCTGTTGGCTGGGTGTATATGTAATTACAAATCTCATTATGAAGATGAGGAATGCTACATACATATCTTTTCTTGCACATGATGTATCCCAGTTGCTCAGTGCATGCTTTGTGTAGATTATAAAATATTATGGCTTTTGCTGCTTCTGAGTGTAGTTTCTTAGTATTTATGAAGAGGTTTTTGAGGGAATAGCCTGTGGAAAAGTGAATGTAAATAATAAATTGTTTCTACAGTGGTAGGATTGGAGAAGATGTATACATATTTCTTCTAGGAATCCAGTAGCTCTTGCTTTGAACTCATAAGAACAGAAACAAGTTAATTAACTTAATGCCAGGGTTTGACAGGTGACTCAGAAACTGCATTTATACCCCTGAATCTAGAGAGTAGATTTGCAATTCTAAGATGGAGGTGACTTTTAAAATCAGAAAGCTAAAAATGTGCACATCCCATAATGGCTGAATAAATATTCCTGCTGATGATCTCTCTGGATGAACAGCCCAAGGGACCAATCTTATTTTCACTTGCCTCCTCTCATTAGCTATGACACTTGGGTTCATGCCAATGAAATAGATGCTGAAATCGAGGATCCTCCAATTCCTGAAAAGCCATGGAAGGTAAGTCTCTCGTAAAACAGTTTCCCAGAGTTACTGTATTGGTACAGCTCATGCTCAGGTGCTGCTAGATAGATGTTTTGATGTGCTGCTGAGTAACAATGGCTGTATTTCCATATATATGGAAAAGCAGAAGAATATGACTAGAGCCTAAATGAAAATGCCTAAAACATTTATCTGGGGAAGAATGCTGTTGGGGGAAAAAAATACCCAAAAACTGTGAGTGAAAAGGACAGATTGATGCATCCCTGATAGTGCCAAAATTACCATTTTGGCCTGGCTTGAGGTGTTTTACATTAAAGTTAAGTCCTTCCTTTACTGCCAAAGTGTTGCCATTTCTGGGATGAAATCTGACAGCTCGTTGGAAGACATCGTGGCCTTATATAATGTTTAATGAGAGGAAGCGGGGAAAATACCATGCTTCTGCTATGGGGACAGACTGAGAGAGCTGGGGTTGTTCAACCTGGAGAAGAGAAGGCTCCAAGGGGACCTCAGAGCAGCTGCCAGTACTTAAAGGGGCTGACAGGAAATCTGGAGATGGGCTTTTGCCAAGGGCAGGTGGAGACAGGACAAGGGGGAATGGCTTTAAACTGACAGAGGGGAGATTGAGATGGGATCTGAGGAAGAAGTTCTTCCCTGTGAGGGTGGTGAGGCCCTGGCACAGGTTGCCCAGAGAAGCTGTGGCTGCCTCATCCCTGGCAGTGTCCAAGGCCAGGTTGGACAGGGGCTTGGAGCAACTTGGTCTAGTGGAAGGTGTCCCTGCCCCTGGCAGGGGGTTGGAACTGAATGAGCTTTAAGTCCCTTCCAACCCAAACCACTTTTTTGACTCTATGAATCCCTGAGGGTCGTATCTCCCCCTTTTTTATGGAAAGGTTCAATTTAATGGGAACTCTGTGCTTAACTGATACAATGCTGCAAAAAGTCAGTGCTTATCACTCTGTTGAATATGTAAGCAATCAAACCAACATCCAAGGCCTTATTTAGGTTCTCTAATCAGTTTTGTTTTTGTCGAGGAATGGTTTGCCTTTCTGATGTATTTCATTACAAAAGAAGAATAAAGAGCATTTAAAATCAGTCAGCAGTAACTACTACTTTATGCTATTATTGGACTTAATCCTGTGTGCATTTCACATGTTCGGTCTGTATGCTGTTGATCTGAACAGCAGAGTTAGAGCAGCTTTGGTCAGAAAATAACTTGTCTACTCAAGCACGACTTCAAGTAGTTGCCTGTAAATAACTGAAACTCATGGTTTTTGTGTATAAATGTTACTATACGTAGTAAGATACAAAAGCTTCTATAAATGATGGATTATAGAATTCATAAAGCTCATTATAAATTACAGAATTCTAAAGCTCAAGAATTTATTTTCAGCTGTGTAAACTAGAACTTTTTTTGAAGATGGGTATTTAAGTCAGTCTTTTGATTTGTCAATCTTTTCTTTCCAAGATATGGCCAACTCTGCCTAATTATTTTGGTCTTTGTGGCGCATCTGCTACGGTAATCTGTATATTTGGAAGATTTTGAGGATAATTTTCAGCATCCAGAGTATGCTTTTAATGCAGAGCTGTTGTCCTAGCTGTAAGAACTGACCTCACACTTCAGAGGGCTTAAAAATGACTGAGGGGCAGACATTGCATTCGGCATAGTTACAGTCATGTTCATCCTTTTTGTATGTTATGTGTAAAAGCACTGCAAAATTTTTGGTTCTTCAGACCTTGATATCAAAGCTGCAAGTATTAATCCAGTGAGGTCAGTTGTGGCGTTACTTTTTCAAAACACAGTGGCATATTAATATGTTCTTCTGTTCTATTCTTTAGGTTCATGCCAAGTGGATTTTGGACACAGATGTATTCAATGAATGGATGAATGAAGAGGATTATGAAGTAGATGAGAACAGGAAATCAGTGAGTTTTCGACAGAGAATCTCCATGAAAAATGAAGAGGTAGGTGGTTCTCTGCTTAATGGGTGACTGTCTCTGCATAACTCAAAATTTTGGGACTTGAAGTTGCTGAACTTAAGCTGTCTGAAAAGTTTAAGTTGCCTGTGATAACATAATCTAGTTTAACTTTCTTCTGACATAGTTCCTTGATTCAGAAATGTAAGCGTGCACTTTAATCCTCACCACCACCACCCTCCCTGAGGATGGTAAGAGGTGGGACTTGCTCTGTGTTTTCTCATAAATGAAGCCAGGGTGTGTTAAACTGCAGCTGTTCATATTTGATTTCCAAATTCTCTAAATTCTGTTTAATTTTCGTGTCCCTCACGGTGTAGGAAGTTAGTTAGGACTCTGAAAACATGTTCATTCAACCTTCGTGTCAGGCCACTCGCTGGGAAATCTCTCCTGTTGAATATATTGAACAAGTTGTGCATACGCTTTTGAATCTTGTTTTATTTTAAAAATCACACTTAAGTACAAAGCCACTGAAATCATACTTCTTAAGTACAAAGCCATTGCATCTTCTGGGGGATAGCTGTACAAAATTAAGGGGTTTTCACATTGACAGTTGGAAGTACTCTGGAGCAAAATGTGGTATGTGTTGTGGTATTACGGCTTTTAGCTTCTCTGTTGTAGGACATACTAAGAAAGAGTGTAGCCTACAGCATTTCAGTAACTGTTATATTTGGGATCACCTAATCACTTCTCTAACAGCCTGTCCGTAGTCCGGAGAGGAGAGACAGAAAAGCAGCAGCAAGTACAAGGAAGAGAAAGCATTCTCCTTCTCCACCCCCCACTCCTGTGGAGTCGAGAAAAAAGACAGGGAAGAAAGGGTGAGTGTCCAAGTCCTGTAACTTGATGCAATTTTTCTTGATAAATTGTTCTACACAGGGATCTCTGTCCCCTGTCACTTGGCTCTCCTTAGTTTACAGTGGAATAATTGTTTCTACAACAGACTTGAGTGATATTGCTTGTGCACTACATGTAATTTCTTTAAGCTTCTGTAGAAATGTATTACCTGCAGGTGGAGGAGATTATAGTGCAAGTTGGTTTATCTCTATCAGTGACAGGGTTCATTGTTGCACCAAGAGTAAAATTTACAAAATGAAAAGTTGCTCAGCTGGTTCTTAAATAACTCAAAGTAGTTCTGTTAGTGCAATCATGCAGTACATGTGTACTTCTTGAAATACAGCTCCATAAATCACTGCATTTAATTGAGGAATTGTATCTGCATAGCAGGTATTTTAAAGTCCACTTCTCAAATGCAACTTTAACAGAGTAACATTTGTGGCCTACAGCTTAGGGTTTTTTTCCAGTGCTATTTTGATCTCTTGACCAAAAAAAAGTGTCATTATTATATCCAAATAAAAGCTTGTTTGTGAGGGTTTATGTATGTATATGGACAGGAGCACTTTTGAGCTAAACATTCAGGTCTTGTTTAACAGACCTGTTAGGCTCTGATAAGACAAATCTAGAAATCTATCATTTGATGTGAGAAAAAAATGACTTGATAATCTGAATTACTTTTTTGTTCCAAATGTAAAGTCTGAGTTAGATTCTGCAAGGAGAGGTTTGGGTGATTCTGCTTTTGTTCCCAAAATGGCTTTTTTGGTACACAGACTTGATCGTACAAGCTAGCCTCTTTCATCAAATCAAGGCACTGTGCCTTGAAATGGTCTGTCACCTCTTCTGTGCAGCAGATGCCCTTATTGCAACTTTTAAAAGAATAAATTGCTCCCATATGGAGACAGGCTGAGAAAGTTGGGGCTGTTCAGCTGTTCAGCCTGGAGAAGAGAAGGCTGTATGGAGACCTCATAGCAGCCTTCCAGTATGTGAAGGGGGGCTGGGGAGGGACTCTTCATTAGGGACTGTAGTGACAGTACAAGGGGTAATGGGTTCAAACTTAAACAGGGGAAGTTTAGATTGTGTATAAGGAGGAAATTCTTTCCTGTTAGGGTGGTGAGGCACTGGAATAGGTTGCCCAGGGAGGTTGTGAATGCTCCATCCCTGGCAGTGTTCAAGGCCAGGTTGGACGAGGTGTTGGGTGACATGGTTTAGTGTGATGTGTCCGTGCCCATGGCAGGGGGGTTGGAACTTGATGATCTTAAGGTCCTTTCCAGCCCTAACTATTCTATGATTCTATTCTATGATTCTATGAAATGTAAGTGAATCACTGGGTTGGAATCAAGATTTCTGTACAATGGTGGTCTCCGGTCTTGAAACAATCGAAAATAGCTTTGCTGTTTTTTTTTTAACAAAAAAAAAAAAAAAACAAAACAAACCAACACCAAAAACACAAAAAAAAAAATCAAACCTTACTTCATTTTGTTAATGTGCAGAGTATTTTTCATCAACTCCACCAGCACCACTCCTGCAGTGTTGATGGTTTCCTAAGTGTTTTGACCCAGTCATTTAATCCTGATACCTGAAGAACAATGTCAAGATGAGAATATCTGACAGTTGCAGTTGGAAAAATATTTGTTTGATCTGTTTTAGACAAGCAGCCTTATATGGAAAAAGGAGAGGGCAGAAAGAAGAAGATGAGCAAGAAGATCTTACAAAGGACATGGAGGATCCCACACCAGTACCTAATATAGAAGAAGTGGTACTTCCCAAAAATGGTAAAATATGCATACACTGGATTCTTTGAATGTTAAGACAATTGCTTAAACTGCACTGAAAAATACACACGTTTTGTGAAATCTTTGAAATACTTGTGGCTGTAGGGCCAGGTGATCTATGCCTGTCTGTGTAGTCAGGGAATTGAATGTGATATCTGAGAAGGATAGCAGATTCACCTTCTTTTTGGTTTTGGAAATACATCTACAAAAATCCGCTTAAACGGTTAGCTTCACCAATTTTAGGATGACTTTCACACACTTCTACAGAGTTTGTTTTGTGGGGTGGAACTTTCTGGAAGGAAACATTTGTATGCCAGACACTCCAGATAAGCAGCACATTAAATGAGAGGAAACTCTAGCAATGTGCCAAATGCATTCAGTTATTAATCCTTTTCAGAAAAGTGCTGATCTGTGCAATACCTCTTAAGTAAAGATAAATCTGAAAAATAATTACTTTTACCAAGTCCTTGGCACCAGACTGTTTTGGGTGTCACATCATTTGTGGTTTTTTACCTGGTTTGGACTTGCATGTGAGAACTGTTGTATAATGCGCATGAATAGAAGCTGGTTTGTGTTCAGATGTGAAATTCCAGAGAAATCAAACAAATACTCTGTTGTACTCAACCTGCACAGATGAACTCTTTTGAACTGCAAAGATCCGACCAGCAAAACTGTTAATTGATAGGATAGTAAAAGCATGCTAGACTTTGGTAATTTTATCTTGTGTGGTTATTCATCAGAGTTTCAATCTTGCTTTTGTAGTGAACCCAAAGAAAGACAGTGAAAACACGCCTGTGAAAGGAGGAACAGTAGCAGACCTTGGTAAAACAAACGCACCACCCTCCAGCACCCCATTCCCTAGGTTTTATAATAAAGTCCTGCTTGCAGGCCAACAGAGGAAATAATTTACATCTCTCAATTTTAAACAAATCTCTAATTCTACTATTTTACTGAATTAATTCAGTTTTCAGATGTATTTCAAGTTGAAACGTATTTATTCTTTCGCTTGCAAGGCTGTTCCCTTGTAGGCACTTTTCTTAATATGACACATAAGCGCTTTCCTGGCAGAATTTTTCTTACTGGGAGTCAAGGTGAATCACAGGTTCCCTGAGTTTTGCTAAGCCTTTGACAGAAGAGGTATGAACTAGTGTCCTGTATCCTACTAAACAAGGTCTAGGTCACTGGGGAAGGCGGTAATTAGGTACGGATTCCTAAGTCTGGAAAAATTCTAATTATCGTTCCTCTGTATTCTTATCTGTTCTCTTGTCTTGGATAGTTGAGTGCCTGCATAAGGGTGAGATTGCCTTAATGATGTGTGGGTCTTCTTTGCTTTCCTCCTCACTTCCCTTCCAAACCAAATGAAATACTCTTTCCAATTAAGCAACTGCATTGCTAGAAAGGCTTGTGAGCAGTCAACTGTTTTTATTAGTGTAATTCTGAATGCTTCTGCCTTTCAGATGAACAGGATGAAGAGACAGTGGCGACTGGAGGAAAGGTAACAGCTGCTGTTTCTTACTGAGTTTGATAGAAACTGAAATCATAGAACAGCTTGGGTTAGAAGAGACCTTTAAAGACCAGTTCCATTGCCCCTGCCATGCACAGGGACACTTTCCACTAGACCAGATTGCTCCAAGTCCCATCCAACCTGTCCTTAAACACTGCCAGGGATGGGGCAGCCACAGCTTCTCTGGGCAACCTGTGCCAAGGCCTCACCACCCTCACAGGGAAGAACTTCTTCCTAAAATCTCACTAAATCTTCCCTGTGTCAGTTTAAAGCCGTTCCCCCTTATCCTTGCTTGCTGGTGTCTTTAAAGCTCTGTGTGAGCACTTGTGTGTTCACTCCCTGAACGGAAGCAAATGCAGGGACATGCAGAGTCACAAGCTGAATTTAGTATCTCCTCTTCACAAGGGAGAGATACCCAAGACCCGCTTTAAGATTGATCAAAGTGAGTTTATCCAAGTACAATCTTAGTGTAATGAGGTGCAGTTTTTCAGACGTGAAACTTACTGCTAACAAGCGTCTGCCAGTAAAACTTGAAGTAATGAATCTAATTTCCTTTAATGCTTTTTTGAGGAGTGAGAAGGTTAATGGGGCAAAAGTGACCAAAAATACAGCCCAACCTAGACAATATTAAAAATGGGTGCAAGTGTCAGTAACTGGAGGTGGCAGCAAGACCCAGGATGGCAGCTTACAAAGTATTCTACACACGACATGTGATTGCAGTATATTGCATTATTGAAATGCAGTGTCTTCTCCCATAGAGCATGCTTAACTTTATAAACAGGATGCAAAGTGTGATCTCGCCATACTGCAAAGTATGCTCTTCAGGTTTGAGAGCTGGCTCTGTAAAAACTTCATCCTGGCCTTATGCTTTCTGTAATATTTTGTCAAGATTTATTATTTTTATGATGACATAGATTACACTTTCTCTGGTCCCTGAGATTTTCCCCACTGACCAGAAACTGCGCTAGGAAAGGTTTATTCTGCACATGATTGGAAAGCACTGGTTTCAGGCTAACTTTGTTTTGACTGAGAGTTTATAGATATGTCTCTTGCAACCTACTCACCATTGTATTTTCTCCATGATACAGGAAGATGAAGATCCTAACAAAGGTGATCAAAGTCGCTCAATTGATCCAGGTGAAGATAATGTTACAGAACAAACCAACCACATCATTATTCCAAGCTATGCATCTTGGTTTGACTACAACTGGTAAGAAAGTATTTGGGAACTGGGTGAAGACTTAATGCTGTGGACCTGGTGTAGATGAGGAAAGGCAACTTTGCATAGCTTGAGCTAATTGAGATTTACTTTAAAGTGAGGTAGGTATATGTGGCCTCTGGGCTTCAGTTCCTTCTCGTATAAAGTGAAGGTACAGTAATACATCCCTACTGAGAAAATTGACAGTAATATCCCTACTGTGAAAATTATGGCAGTGATGGTGTTTTGTCGTGAGATCACTCTTCTGTAGTGCATGCAAGTGCCTTTTGGGGGTGACTGGTAAATAATGATTGGTTAAAAACTCTGACCTGTGCATTTGTAGTAGCAAATGGTGTTCCCAAGAGCTAAATCAGTCTGAAACACAGCTGAGAGACTACTGAAGTACATCTGGAAAAATAGAATAAACTTCATGTTGCATTAGGTGTACATGTTCTTGTAAAAGGCAACCTTAAATCATCTCTGTGGTGGCAGCAGTGGACATGACAAGGTAGCTGGAAGCATTTTCTAATGCAGCTTTGCTTCTTTAATAAAATAGGCAAATTTCAAAGGGTTATGCTAGAATACTAGGGTTTCTTTAAAAAAAATTTAAAATAATCCTTTCTATAAATGTTCTCTCTTAAAATAGTGTTTTGAAGGTGTGCAGAGTACTCAAACATTATTTTGTATTTGAATCTGAATTGTGTATATACATTGCATATACAATCTGAATTGTATATTTCTGTTACAGTATTCATGTGATCGAACGTCGTGCTCTTCCTGAATTCTTCAATGGAAAAAACAAGTCTAAGACTCCAGAAATGTAAGTAGAACATTTGAATGTATACGTTTATAAAAGCGTAGCAAGGTCAAGCAGCTTCCAGTTCCAGGAGTCCTGCAGTCACTTCAGCTGTGCAGGTGTTAAGCTTATATTAGTAGGGGCATAAAAGAAGGAAAGAGCACCTGTACCACCTCTTCTTGTAGCTTGATAATGTACGTGCATTATCAAACTACAAGAGGTAAAAGATTAAATATCAAAGTAATAGTTAATAGTGGTTACCCAGGAAAAATAAAACAAGTTTCTCCCAAGTAATACAGGAGCAAATTCACATACTTCATGTGATACAAAATGAGATCATCTTCCAAAGACATCTCAAAAATTTCATGATGCTATAGAAGCTTAATAGTCATCCGTATTTTTCTCTGTTTCTTATGCCATGCTGTATTTTTGAGACTTGGAGTTTTGTGTGTAAGCACTGATCACAGAGTTTGTTGTAGGATGTGTGACTGGAATGGATTTTGCCCAGTTATCTGTACTGATTTCATGGTTCCCTGAGCAACTGATGGGTAGTGCTGAAAGTGCAAGTGAGGTTCGGAAAACTAATCTTCACAGGCCTGGGATGTAACTGTGTTCTCAAATACCAGGTAGTCTGATTTAAATTGGAGAGCTAGAGTTGCACATTGCTAGAAGTAGTATGAGTTTTTTCTTATATAGCTGTTCCAAACCCTCTAGTGACACTTTAATTCTTGACATTCCTATTAAATGCAGATGGAGCTCTCAGTTGAATTTAGGTCCAGTTTGTACATATTCCATCTTGTTGTGGGATCTGGTATCTACTGCAGAACTTAAATGTTCTTAATTAAAAAATTGCACACACACAGCTGTTTAAACAGCTTAAACAACTTCCCTGATGCTGTTTAAATTAAATAATAAGGGAAGATGATTATTGTCTTGAGGTATTGCAGTTTTTTTTCATGCATCACATAGTTAACTTCTGGTCTGACTTAGCAGCATAACAAAATGAACTGCTGAGTTTGCAAACTGGTTAGTTATAGTTTTTTTTCTCTTTCTACTTCAAACTAATGACAGTGATAAGCCATCCTGCGTTGCTCTTCAGCAAGGGGACAGAGCAGATTTCACAGCATTCTTGGGTTTGCATCTCTTCTTTTCAGGCATGACTTATTTTGTGAGGATTCTGATCTAATGTTGAGGTAGAAATCAAAAACTAAGTTTTTTTTCAGTCTGGAGAAGAGAAGGATTGGGGGAAACCTTTATAGTAGTGGCCCAGTGCACAGGGAGGCTGCTGAGAAGATGGAGCCAGGCTCATTATGTGTGTGGCAGAACAAAAATAAGTGAAACTGAAACACAGCAAGTTCTATCTAGATGTAAGGAAAATTTTTAATTCTGAAGATGATGAAACACTGGGATGGGGCCTTGGGAAGTTGGGAGTGCTCTTCTTTGGCGTCTTTCAGGCCTTTCTGAAGAAACCCCTAAGCAACCTGGTCAAAACTTGGTCACAGAGCTCTGAGCAACCTGGTCATGAAGATGTTCTGGGGCCCCCAACCTGAGAAGGATGTGGAGCTGTTGGAGTGAGTCGGGAGGAGGCCACAAAGTTGCTCCAAGGGCTGTAGGAGCTCTGCTATGGAGACAGGCTGAGAGAGCTGGGCTTGTTCAGCCTGGAGAAGAGAAGGTTCTGAGGACACCTTAGAACAGCTTCCAGTTCCTGAACAGGCTGACAAGAAACCTGGATATAGACTTTCGACAAGGGCCTTCAGGCACAGGACAAGGGGGAATGGCTTTAACCTGACAGAGGGGAGATTGAGATGAGATCTGAGGAAGTTCTTCCCTGTGAGGCTGGTGAGGCCCTGGCACAGGTTGCCCAGAGAAGCTGTGGCTGCCCCATCCCTGGCAGTGTTCAAGGCGGGGTTGGATGGGGCTTGGAGCAACGTGGTTTAGTGGAAGGTGTTCCTGCCTGTGGCAGGGGTTTGGAACTGAATGAGCTTTAAGTCCATTCCAGCCCAAACCACTCTGATTCTATGATAATGCAGAGCTGACCATGATTTGAGTAGGAGATTGGCTTAGAGGCCTCCTGAGGGTCTCTGGCACCCTGAATGTTTTTCAACCCATAATCCTTATTTGCAGTTTCTCTGGAAGTCTGATTTGCAGAGCTATGTTTTCAAAATTTATTTGACACAGCATATTTTTGTTTTGGGGTTCTGGGACTCAGTGTCTAAGACTGCAAACAGATTGAATTCTGAAAGAATTCTTATATTACTGTCCCATATTATTCCTTATATTCCTTGCCACTGATGGGGTCATAGCATGTAATCCCATGCTTCTTTTTTCAGCTGACATCATAACATCAGGTCTCCTATAGGTCATCCATAAACTGCTATTGGTTATTGACTGTAAGTGAAGCAAATTAGGGACTCCTCCCAGTCCTGATGTTAACCTAGATTTGTATTTTTGTTGTCATTTAGGGATTATAGGAGTAGCATGTGCTCATGGCTTGGTGTTTTCTTTTCAAGCAAAATAGAATCATCCTTCTGAATGGAAATGTCTTGCCTCCAGCTTAGTTTTCAGGCCAATGAAAATACTGTGTTTCTGAAGTGCACACAGGGTCGTTCTTCTGACTGTAGTGTCTGGAGGGTGGTTTCTGTCTTAAAACAGGCTTTAACTAAATACTAGTTGACTTCCCTTTCTCGCTGTTGACAGGTTTTAGCTGATGGGTTATGTCATTGTTGAAAACAGATTCCCTTCAGGATAAACTTTAGGGATGTTTCTGTCTTTGGCTTTTCTCTTCACCTAGTAACGTGACCTTAGTGAATAAATATTAAACTAATTTCTGTAGCCAAGACCACTTTAAAGTACCTGTTCTTGGTCCAGCAGGTGGTAACCCAGTCCTGTACAGGAGCATTGGAAAATGTTCCTGCATATTGCTCCATGGAAGCAGCTCTTTTTGTTCCTTGCCTGCCAGACATTCAAGGTGGAGCAGCCCAGCACTTGACACATAACTTATTTCCATCAAGTTTTATATGTAATTTGATCAGAACGAAGATGTGGGGGTTTTGTCAGGAATGTGTATGTGCAGCAACATGTCTTGCCTTTGAAAAGCATTGGTGTCCATCTCTGTAAGCCTTGCATTTATTTGTTACCAGCTGGTTTTGCACACCACATATGAGGCATCCATATCTTGAATTTTCCAGAGGCAGAAATCTGCTTATAATAGGCTGTTTTGAACACATCTTTGCATAGGATACTTACTTGTATTCGACAGGTTCGTTTTGTTTCCTCAGATGAACAGGTCTGGCAATTTTATGGTAGTTTATTTTGTTCTGACCAACTTGCATTGGGGTAAATTCCAGAAATTTACTGAGAAAGCCTGTGAAGCAATGTCTGCAGTGCAGGAGATGTGCTGAACCCTGATACGTGTTTGTCTGTGTTCTGAAATACGGGAATCTCATGAAGGTCATTTCTGCTTCAACTGTTCCACCTCAGTGGGTGGGGAGTGCAGTGCTGGTTTCTGGATTCCTGTCACCTGCTTTTCATAGATCTTGTCTTCTCCAGTTTGCTATTCTGTAACTTTTCTGTACTGATTCTTTTATGACTTAAAAACTCCACATGTAGAAAGAGTAGCATTCCATTTGGTGTACTACTTCTGGTTTTATGCTCAGCTCTTTTTCATCCCAGGCTCCTGAAGGGGATTGACAAGGATTATTTAGCCTGTTTCCATGGGAAGATCAGACCCCCTTTTTTTCTGCAGCTAGTGGTCCATTGCACAAGTATTTGGTTAGTGACCAAGCTACAGCTGCTATGTGTGTCATTTGCAATTTAAGTGTGCTTCAGTGTACTGCTAATCCAAACACTGATAAAATCCAGAATGAAACAGTCTGGAAGAGATGGGTCATACTCCGTATATAAAAATAAATTCTACTTACCTTTTGCTTTTGATACTGATTCTTAAATTTCATAAATAAAAATTATCTATTGGTGTTTGCTTGTCAGTAAGAAAGGTGTTTGGAGAAGGCGAATCCTAAAATACATATCCTAAACTTCTAGACTTCAGTGTCCGTGAACTACTTGTCAATTGTCTTCCAGATACCTGGCTTACCGCAACTTCATGATTGACACCTATCGCTTAAACCCTCAAGAGTACTTGACCAGCACTGCCTGCAGAAGGAATCTGACTGGAGATGTGTGTGCCGTCATGAGGTAAAAGCCATGGCTCTTTCAGCCACTGCCTTTGCTTTAATAAAAAGAAGTAGGAGCTGCATTAAAAATGAAAGCGTGCCAGTATGACAGCATAATGTGGGCAATAGCCATCATACTGTTGATTAGCAGTTTCCCTGCTTTTATGGCAACCAGGTGACTAGTTTATACTAATCTTTTTCTTTATAATATTGTCTGCTTGTTAAAACATGACTGCAGATTTTTGGATCTTAATTTGTGATGAGTTAGGTTCTGCTGTTCAGTAAATATGTGGATTTTTTTTTTTTTTTTTTTTTTTTAAGAAATTCAGTTCTTGCAACTCAGTTTTGTCAGTTTTAAGCTCTCAGGTGCAGCAGAGCTCTAGAAACCTGTAGCTTCCTAAACGTCAGTTCAGTGACAAACAGTTAAGGACAAACAAGGGAAACGGGTCAATGGTTGTGCGGCCCATACAATCTGTATGTTGCCTGCAAATGGTTCTGTGCATGCAGCCCTAGCTTTCTTTGTTTGCACTTAATTAATTTTCTGTTCTCTGTAACCAGAAATACCCTGTTTTGATTCAGGCAACATGCTGAAATGCAGTCAAGCCTGCACACAGCTTATGCTGTGTGGTTTATATTGCTATTTCTCATTAGTGAAGGACTGTAGAAGATTCTGGATCTGTGTTTGATCCAGAAACATAAACTCCCCCGTTTGCTGTCTCCTTTCTGTGGTGTAAAGCAAATCCAAGGCTTCAGTTCTTAAGATCTTAATTTGTCACATTGTTTCATAGAGTACATGCTTTTCTGGAGCAGTGGGGTCTCATTAACTATCAAGTGGATCCAGAAAGCCGTCCCATGGCAATGGGCCCTCCTCCTACTCCTCACTTCAACGTGCTAGCTGATACACCCTCTGGACTCATGCCTCTCCATATCCGCACTCCGCAGGTGAGCCCCACAGGTTGCACTTATCTTCTAGCCCGTGTCATTTAACATCTCATCAGAATAATTTGGGCATGATTTGGTGACATACTCTTTTTTCTTTTTCTTTTGTCCAGCTATGTTTAGAGTTTCAGGTACTTTGAATCTCTAAGCTCTGCTGGTATTGTATGCAAGTGATACTATCTATGTAAAGTCATCTCTGTAGATTTATGTTTGACTGCCTTGTTCTGTCCATCTTCTATTTAACACTTATCTGAAAACCTTGAATAACTTTCAGTTCTTGCCCCCTCATCTTTCTGTTTTAATGTTTGTTCACAGGTTCCAGCTGCTCAGCAGATGTTGAGTTTTCCAGAGAAAAACAAGGAGAAACCAACTGATCTGCAGAACTTTGGGCTTCGCACAGACATATACTCAAAAAAGACTTTAGCAAAGGCAAGTATGTTGGGATTTTTTTTCCCCTGTCTCCTGCTATTAAGATTTCTTCCTCAAATGTCCTCTACTAGATGACACTGAGATGACTTACGTTACTCACAGATTCCTGGTTTAGATTTTGTTTCCATCTGACTGTAGGACACTAAGATATGTGATTTGATTGTGTTGGGTATCTGATGTTATAGAAAGAAAGACACCTACCCCAAACTGGTTAATATTGTCAGTCTTCAGATGCTGAACTCTTGTTATGTTACTTCATATTTTACCTGAATGGTTCAGCTTCTAACTATCCATTGATTCAGTACAGAAACAGATTTTTCCATCAGGGTCTTTATCCTGTTTTCCAGGTCTGAGAAGGATTTTCCAGACTGGGTGAGCTAGACAGTTGCTTGATTACCAAAGGTGTCACAAAATCACTACAAGGGGGTATTTTAGCACTGTCACTGCAGTGTATTGTATCAGATAGTTAAAGTTTTGAGATACCATTCAGTGACCTTGGTAATTCTATAACCTCTTGCCTATCTCCTGCTACCGGATACCTGTGCTTGATACCTGATAGTGCTTGGAGGCATTGCAGGAATACCATGTTACTACTTCAGCGTCACCTTCCATTTGGTAGTCTATAAAGTTCTGCTGATTAGTGCTTCTCTTGAGCTCACATACTCTTAGGTGTGAGTTCAAAAGAAGCACTAATGAAGAGGCTAATTCTGTGTAATTGGTTCATTTTCCTGAGAGAGTATTGAAACCCACAAAACTACTTTGTACACTGTCGTTTATACTATTTCTACTTACCACCTGAGAGAGAACTATTAAAAAAAAGAAAGCAAGAAAAAATCCACAAAAAAAAAAACCAAATGAAACCAGCACACAGTAGTTCTAGAGATAAGCATTTTTTATAAATCCTGATTCCATCATTGCATTTATGGATTGACTTTTTTGCTTAGTTTATGGAGGTATAAATATTCATGTAAAAATTCATAACTCTTCTGCTGGTTCTAGACTCTGGTTCTATTTACAAACTTCTGTATCAATGAACTTGAACAGACTTGTTTGCAGAAGTTGATTTCCCTTTTTGGTTTGTGTCTGGCAATTGCTTTTTGGCTCTTCATACAAGCCTGTTTGAGAGCTGATCAGCTGCTGGATGACTCAGTTTGATTAATGTTCTGTTTGGGTTAGTGAATTGTGAAGTGCATCTTGAGATAGGATAGTTTTACCTCTCCTAAATATTCCTTTTGCTGTGGTCCTGCCCAGAGACATCCAGTCTAGATAATGGTCTTTCATAAGCAGTTGAGAAGGTGCTTTTGTCCTTATTTGACATGGAATGGATCAGGGTGTCTGGAATCACAGAAGGGGAAGTTTTCATGAAGAGTTTGGTAACTTTTAGGAAATCTCACAAGGTATAGATTTGGAAACAGCAACCCTTGGAGCCAGTGATTGCTGAATATGCAGAGTATCTTCATAGAATCATAGAATAGTCAGGGTTGGAAAGGACCTTAAGATCATCAAGTTCCAACCCCCTTGCCATGGGCAGGGACACCTCACACTAAACCGTGTCACCCAAGGCCTCGTCCAGCCTGGCCTTGAGCACTGCCAGGGATGGAGCATTCACAACCTCCCTGGGCATCCTGTTCCAGTGCCTCACCACCCTAACAGGAAAGAATTTCCTCTTTATATCCAGTCTAGATTTCCCCGGTTTAAGTTTTAACCCATTACCCCTTGTCCCATCACTACAGTCCCTCCCCAGCATCCCTATAGGCCTCCTGTATCTTGTTGTAATTACTGTCTTTTCACATAGCTCATCTCACTTGTAAAGATTATTTTTTTTCCCTGAATTACTGATGAACTTTTAGATAAATGAACAGTTTTTGGGACCAGCATGTACCTTACACAGTCAAATATGTGTGCGTTGGAAGTTGATGTGAGCTAAAGTGACTCTGACATAAACCTTATTCTGCTGGGAAAGATGCCCTTTAATCTGGTAGAATCCCAGTTGTGCCTGAATCAAGTAATACCATCTCCTCATGGGACAGCAGCATCCTTCAACTCTATGGCATCTTTGGAGGGGGTTAGATACTTTGTTGTGTCTATCTGCTGCTGTCCTTTGAGCTGAAGGATGCTTTGTGTAAACTGCTCTGTTCTTTGCTTAATTTTCCTGGCCAGTCAAGCTAACCAGAATGCCATCACTGCTCCTAAGAGGCTTTATTATTTAGGAAAATCCTCTTTGCTGTTTATGCAAGCAAAGATAGCCAGGAAAAACGGATACCAGATCACTTTGCTTTAGCTTGGAATAAAAGAGGAGTTGCAAGTTCAACTAGATGTATTGGGGCAGTGGGATCTGTGGAACCCAGCCTCCACAGAGTGCATAAATGTACTCACCTGCGTGCTGTGGCTACATAAGTACATGATGTGAAGCGAACCACTGTACAAGGTAACATGGTTAGCTGTAGTAGGAAGGCTCTGAAAGGTACCTGTTTGACTGGATTAAATAACAGATTATTCCTCCTCTTAATGGTTTCTTAAAAGAAGTTCTGTGCATTAACAACCTGTATTTCACTTTTTCCCACCCCCTTCTGTCTTACAGAGTAAAGGTGCAAGTGCTGGGAGAGAATGGACAGAACAAGAGACATTGCTGCTATTAGAAGTAAGTACATGAGGGCAAAACCAAAACATGAAGAATATCATTACACACTTTAAAAACCTACATATAGATTAATTAATCATTTTTTTGAGGTGGAGTTAGATGACAGGTGCATGCTTTTATAGAGAATTTAATAGGGCTGGAGACTTTATAGTGGGAAGCAATCTCTTGGGACTCAACTGATGTAGCTGGAGGAACAAAGCGGTTGAGTATCTGTATGTAAAGGCAATGCTGCCTGTCTCGTTGTGGTTATGTTTTTAAACTGGTAAAAGGTTATAGCTCTCCCTCAAAATCATCTCTTTGACCATCACAGTTACAGGAATCTTATTACCAAAATGGGTTGGCAGTAACATCTTTGTAATAGAGGGGCTTCATATATTTTAAGGTTTAAATTCTAACTTGTACCTGCAAGGAAGAAATTAAGTATTTCAGAATATTTGCATAAACTCAGGAACAGATCTTGCAGTGCAGAGAGGTCTTTTCATTAAACAGAAGTTACTAACAGCAGGAATGCCTTTCAGGTAATGGTGTACCTGCCACTAAGATAAATACTTTGAAATTCTGATTATAGGTTCATGGCTATGCCACAGCATGCAAGGGAGGGAAAGAACTAATTTTTAAAGTTGAAATAGTTAAGAAACAGTTGAGGCTGTTTCCGTGTTCTACCACAAAGAAGGGAAGCTCTTTATTTGGTAGTTCTTTAGTCCCATACATCTACTCATTCTTTTTGCCACAGAGCTGCACTTGATGTAGTCTATCAGCTTTTTTGGGAAAGTCTACAAGAAATACACATGAGATGACTTAAATGAGGTACTGTAAAAATGAGCTCAGACAATTGCTAGCACACTTGATCAGGCTTTCATCCCTAGATTCCTTAATCTGATGCCCTTGAGCCACATGGTAATTGTCAGGTCTCTTGGAGTCCCAGAGGTGCACTACAGAAGTTTGTTCAGTCTTCCACACTGACATAAGGCAGCACTGTTTTTCATAGTGCTTCATCAGAAGAAGAATCTCTGGCCTGAAATAATTAATATGCTGCTATTTCCTGTAAATAAATATTACTTAGCTTTCTTCTAAAGAAACGTTTTCTTGATGTAGACTGTGGGTGGTTGATTTTTATCCTTTTATGTAATTCAGGGTTCTGGTCTAAGAATTACAGTTTGGGGTTTATTTTTGCTGGTTTGTTTTTATGTGAAGAGAGAACTTAAACCAGAGTGCAGTTGCGTGATTCTGCGGGCTTTGTCTTTACATGTATCAGTAAACCTATTGAAAAGTTAATTTTATGAGGAAAAGCATGGACAATGGATCTTGATGGTGCTTGACAGTGTCGAACTTGTGTTGAGTAGCTTCTTCTCTGAGCTAGCCAAGGTGCCTCAGCACAACAGTCTTTGATTCAGCCTTCACAGCTCACAGAAGTGTGTTCATCAAAAAGCCAAAATAGAGTTTTGGTGGGTTTTTTTATGTTAGCTTGGTATGCGGTGTTTAGCTCATACTTTTCTATTGCCATGTGGAGAAAAGTTTGTCCATAAGGGTTTGTAACAAAAACCTAAATTGTCTTTCGTGGCATTCTTGTATGGAGAAGCAAGACTAATGTATTGATATGTTGACTGCTTTGCTTATAGTAGCATTGTTTAAAATTCATTTATAGCTTATGATCATACATAGCAAATCATAGCCTAATGAAATAATCCAGATACCTTAAAAAACACCAAACCCAAACAAACAAAAAAACCCAGTCTTGAGACTACAACTTTATTTAATGTGCTTAAATTAATAATGGTGGGTTTTTTCTTCGTTCTTTGTAGATTTAACCTATGAATAAATCAGTAAAGAGTATATCAGTTCAAGCATAAGTAATGCAGCTGTAACAAGCCAGCTCAGTTCAATTAAATCCTCAGGGTAGATTTAGACAACCATATATGCAGTGATGTTCTGAAAAATAAATGTTATCTAAAATAATTACTGTCCTTCTGCCTGTTGACTGAATAAATTGGGGGAGGAAATACTCTTTTCCTTCCAAGTTCATCTTCCCTGCCTAACTGCTTGTCTGTATCTCCACAGAGTGCTATTCTTGCATAGTTAAGTGTATTTTCAGCTATTTATAGTAAGGACAACTATTGTGAAAGCTAGGCTGTCTAGCAGAAAAATAACAAGCAGTGAAGGAGAATGAGCAGAAAGCCCTGCATGGCCATGAAAAGCAGAGCTGATCTAATACGCTAGCATGATTAAAAATGGATAAGCAGTGACACACAATTTACAGCACAGAGATAAATTAGGGAAAATGAAATGAAAGTTGAACTAGCTAAATATTTCCCCATGAATATGACCTAGTGAACTAAGCAGTTTCTCATTTCTTTAAACACTTGGGTAAGATCAGGCAGAGGTCAGAAGAACGGTTCACGGGCAGTTAGTGACTACTGTGGTGTGGGCCAGGCTGTCCAATATCATCTGTCCTTGGTTCATTCCCAAAATGATGGATTGGGATGTATTCTCCACATGATGTCTGACAGATACATTCCAGCTCTGGATTCTGCCTTCACGCTATGTGAAAGGTGGTGCATGTGGAGAGTCGTGCATTTTACCATGAAGGTTGAGATTTCTGGTAGTTGTCAACCTCGTGAGAAAGTCAAGTATTGAAAAGCCATTAACTTCATTTGTTCTTAATGTTCATGCTTAAGTGGACATTGGTTGGGGAATTTCAGTTATCATAAGTAGTTAGATAAGGAGGAGAATGTCTGTATCTCCTGAAATACGTTATACCTGCAAACAGATGCCTTAAGGTCCAAGGCAGCCTGCCTTATGGCCAGCAAGTCAGTGAGGGTGTATCATAGGGATCTCTCAAACAGTCTAATAACACCTACTTCAAACTCTGTTCTCCTTCCACCAGTTGTTGCTAAAATGCCTGCTCACTTGCCACGAAGCAAAGCAGTTGCCTTTGTTTCTTGTAGTGTAAGTCAGGGTAAATAAAAACCAGCATGACTTCTCAGCGAAATATATTAAAAATGAAAATGGGATCTGCAGCTCAAACAGAGAGATGTTTGCCACCCTTGCTCAGGCCTCTGGTATTAAATATTTTCAGAAGATTTCTGTTATGCCTGTGAGTTGCAGATCCCATTTTCATTTTTAAGTTTGACACATTTGGCCTAGATCTCAAATGGCTTTTTACTTTTTGTAGGTGACTGGACCATGGGTCATCTCAGTAATGTAGAAGTTAACAGTTTAGGGTACTTAAACACTTATTTTATGCTGTCCAAGTGCTTAAATAACTTAAACAGTTTTCAGGAGAAAAAAACAAAACACTTCTTAAGGGATAATATTCTGTTAGGCTACCACTTTGGTTTTTTACAATACTCATGGGTTAGTTTTTCAAAAACTAGTGCAGGGACTTGAGTAGCTCACTGTTATTGAATTATTTTGTGAAGATCTTAAGTAACTTTAAAAACAACTGAAATGCTGAATTACTAAATCCTTGATTTAATTGGGAAGTTCTTGTTTTATCAGGTGCCTTATCTACGTAATAATGACTCATTAACCTGAATGCGTAACAAAAATAAGAGTGGTTAACAATTGCTGGAGAACTGATCTCTTCTGGCTTCATGATGCAGAATATATTTTCCTCTTTTTTCCTGGAATATTGGTTTGATGCTCTTTTATAACTTCTGTTGGATCTAAAAACTGGACTTCACCATCATAGCTAGTATACATGAGTGAAATAAACCCCGTTCCTGCCCCAGAGAGCTCAGTGTGCCAAGACATAAATGAGAGGACACAAGAACAGGGGGAGTAGTTATGGAAATTGAAAGAATTGGTGAGATTTAGTAGGATAAGCAAACTTACTTCTCTTGAAAGCTTTTCGTGTTGAAGCAAAATGGGGAAGCACTAACTATGCAAATATTAGTAAATCCTGAATCTTCTGACTATTCTTTTTGATATAATAACAGCATAAAACCCATGTGATGATCCCCACAGCTTAAATTTAATCAGTGTCCCAGTCAGATGTTCATAGTTCTTACAAAGAATAATTTTGCTACCAGAAAAAATTAAATAGTTGTCTGATCCCAATTTATTATTCCACCACCAAAATAACTAGTATTGAAAATATTTTTTTGCAAAAAGAAGGGTTTTTTTCCCCCAGAGTAGTTAATGTATATACAATGACTTTTGTCTTTTGCAGGCTCTGGAGATGTACAAAGATGATTGGAACAAAGTCTCGGAGCATGTTGGGAGCCGTACCCAAGATGAGTGCATTCTCCATTTTCTGAGACTTCCAATTGAAGACCCTTATTTGGAGAACTCCGACGCGTCTCTGGGCCCACTGGCGTACCAGCCGGTCCCCTTCAGCCAGTCTGGCAATCCAGTAATGAGCACCGTTGCTTTTCTGGCATCTGTGGTGGATCCCCGGGTGGCATCGGCCGCAGCAAAGGCTGCATTAGGTATGAATTTGCCCTAGCAATTGTTTTTACCTTTTCTCTACAACTTTGCTCTCAGTCCGCTTTTAAAATCAACTTCTAGAGTTTGTTGTGGATGAATTTACACATACGTAGAAAAGAGGTCTACTTATACCCAGCTTTATGTTCTGTTATTACTGAAACTGCCAATTTACAGACCAGGTAGAATAGCTTTAAGGCCATTGAATGTCTAAAGATGGCTTTTGTGCTTATTGACTCTTGATAGTGTTTGCAAGCACCACCTAGTAGTCATGTTACTGTGACCACTGTCATTAGTTTAGCTGTGGATAGATGCACAAAGCTAAACGTTTTTTTCCCCTTTTCTGTTTGTGTGAAATTATCTGCTGTAGTTATATGTGTACTCAAACATACTTGTTGAGATAATTCCTTTCACTTTTTTCCTTATTTTTCCATGTAAAAGAGAATTTTATGTAATTGGGATGAAGCCCCTTCCTGTGACATTTGAGAGAGTAAATTAATGACCTGTTGTGAAAAGAAGGAACTTACATACTTGAGAATTCCCTCTGTCATGAGATGTACCTGCACATTGATCAGAGAAAATCATAACTTATAATTTGCCATAAAACCCTCACAATATTTCTTTTTTGTTGTTTTTTTTTATCTTACCAGAGGAGTTCTCTCGTGTCAGAGAGGAGGTACCGCTGGAGCTCGTCGAAGCTCACGTAAAGAAAGTACAGGAAGCAGCAAGAGCCTCTGGGAAAGTGGATCCAACATACGGTCTAGAGAGCAGCTGCATTGCTGGAACAGGTCCAGATGAGCCAGAGAAAATTGGTAGGCTGTCCATAAAAATTTCTCCATATGAGGTTCCTTAGGGATTTTCTTCTGAGTTACAATAAACCACAAGTTCACCTCCAGTGAGAGATGGAAATCATCGTGGGTAAGGAGAGTGTGACAGGTTCTGCTTGCTGCAGGATTAGTAACTCTTGACACTGAATTAATGAATTCAGGACTAGCTTTAGTTTCAGAGAGTTGTTTTCTTGCTTTCACTCCATGGAAAGGCAATTGCTGTGGAAGCACAGAGTTGAGTGAGCAGAGCAGACCACTTCATGCTAATTCTGTGGGTATTAGAGTAGTTGGAGGGTGCTGCCTTTCTATCACTGCAGTTATAATGAAACTTGAGTTTTATCAGCTCTTTGTGCTGCAGCTTAATCTGTAATGTTATATCATGCTTTTGGTAATAGGCTTTTACCCAGGTCTTGTACTCTGAGTACACTGCTAATTGTGATGGTAGCAGAAGAGGAACTTTTTATTTAATGGTAGACTGGTATATGATAATGCTATAGTTCTTGTTTCTAGTTGCATATTATACCGCTGTACTAAAAAAGTCTTGTTTAAGAGCTTGGTTTCAGCTGAGCTATGTTCTGTAATATTCGTCAGATATTCTGGTATGAAGTCTCTTATCTGAAACCTTGATAGGTCCAAACTGTTTACTCATTACTGTGGAAAGTAAAAGCATGTTCTTCAGCAGCTCCTATAAAATGAAACCCTTTCTATATAGCTCTCTTTCCGATCTCCTTTAACAGTAAAATGGGTAGACATGACAAGTTTGCTCTGTACCTGCTGACTTTCCCAATGACTTTAATCTCTTCAATTTGCTGCAGATCTGCCATCTTGTCAGCAGATCTTTGTTTTCTTTCTAGCATTGTTGGCTGCTGTTTTGTTCAGTCTATCACTGTTTTAGTGAATTCAGTGACTAGACTGACAGGAAGTTTTGATTTGGGCTGTGCTCGTGCATCTCATAGTTGACATACTGTCACCCCCTCTTGAGACATGAGCCAGGCACCAAATTGTGCAGTAGGATTGTGAAGGACCTGGGTGTGTTTGCTGTTAAGTTATCAACTGCTAGTCATACAGGTGAAGATGCAGATAGAGCATTTATGGTGCTAAGTGCCCGTAAAACTACACTTCTAAATTCAAAAATACTGGATAACTCATCAAGGTATTTCTTAAATAGAGAAGTTGTTAATGGACCACTTAATCCTTCTGTCACATTTTTCACTTCTACACTTGGTGGGACAGACTTGATGTGAGGCAGCTTGGTTCTTTGGGAAGATGTGAAATGTATGCTGAAAATGGAACACTGGCACCTGGACTATCTGCTTCTCCCTGTTCCACAGCACTCTGTTGTGCAAAACTGACAGCAAGCATCAAAGCTCAGTTGAAAGTGTTTATTTTCAAGTCTGATATAAAACAAATCTAGGTGTTTCTCCCTTTTCCATATTCTCCAAGTACAGACGCCACCGTAGTATGTTACCGACCTCTGTAATGTATATACTACTTGGAGTCTTAATTGTTAATGCTGCAGCACGACCATGGAAGTTTACCATTACTAGTCTGTAGGAGTCTTCTAGGAGAATTTGCGCCCAAGTTGCAAATGGGGATTTTGAAGTGGTTGTCATCTAGTATGGGCAGTTGGAGAGCAGATGACCATAACATGATTATTTCTGAATGAGCTATATGGTGAGTTCTATAAGTAATACTGTCCTGTTACAGCTAATGCGATTTGTATTGGGCTGTGACTAATGGAATAAATTAGGACAAGAGCAGATGGTTCTCCCTGGGGGAGCTTCTCAGTAAGAGTGAACTGGGTCACTTGACAATCTGTGGTGCCTTCCAACTCCAAAACAGCTTTGCACTGGAGGGCACAGGGGAACCCATAGCTTGCAGTGGCAGAGGTATGCTTAATGCATTGAAGTACAGTGTTGTGGGGTGCTACTGTTGAAGTGGAACTGTGGGTTTGCATTAAATGTCACTACAGAGAACTAAAAATGTCTGCTTAAGGTTCCATACTATAATTAAAGTTCATCAGTTGTTATATTTTAGAAATAAAATTATATAATTTAACTATATTATTAGGCTCCTTAATAATTTAAAAACTCTTAAAAGTGGTGGTTTATAGGCAATATGGAATGCAAAAGGGGAAAATATGACTGGAACAGATTGTAGGAACTTAAAATTAATATCCAAGAATTTCTTTTTTAACTTTAACTCTTCATTGTTAGTTTTTTATAAAAGCTGATGATCATAGGATCCCAGACTGGTTTGGATTGGAAGGGACCTTAAAGCTCGTCCAGTTCCAAGCCCCCTGCCACAGGCAGGGTCACCTTCCATTAGACCAGGTTGCTACAAGCCCTGCCCAACCTGGCCATTGAACACTGCCAGGGATGGGGCAACCTGAGCTTCTCTAGGCAACCTGTGCCAGGGCCTCACCACCCTCACAGGGAAGAATTTTTTCCTAATATTTAATGATGTTTCCTTTTAAATGAATATAGGAATGCTTCAGTAGAGTTACCGGAAGACTCAAGTGGTTCAGATGCTGTGGTAAGCATGGTAGACACTGTCTTCTGCTTTCTAAGATAGTGTCCCACTGTAGGTCATGGAGTATGATAGAGGAAGCTACTCTGCATCAGTTTTAGTAAAAATGGCTGGAAGAGACCAAAGAACGGATCTCAGCTCTTGGGCTAGCAATTAAGCTCCAGAGAAAAGAAATATTCAGTACACCTGTGGTACTTAGGCATTTCAAATTAAGTCTTCACTGAGGATTTGTGCCTCGTTAATGGCTTTCCAAAGGTGATTAACTACACTGATTGCAAATATGTGCACTGAGTGTGTCACAAGGCAATCTCGGAAGTGCCTGTGTTGGAGGCAGTAACTTGCGCATTTTACAATTTATTCTAACAAATATTTCACTGGAAGTGTCTCCACTGACACGAGTGTGAGTGCTTCAAGCTGTAGCTCATCTGTGACAGTGAACACTGAGGGAACGGTGGTCTGATTTACTGGGACCAGTACAACTGTGACTTAAACAGATGATTATATTTAACATGTTATGGATGGTTTTGTACCATTCTCAAATACACATACCAAAAAGCTACACAGAAGTGTACATACACATGAGAAGTTATTTTCTTTCATTTTTGGCAGAGCGATTTCTCTTGTGGTCTCCAGGGTGTGCTTTAACTCTGAAATAATGCAAGCATTGCTAAAACGAATTGACTCGGAGTACCTGATTCACTTTGCATATATCCAGGTGCCCGTGAGCTAGTTCTGCGCCACTGGAGGATTGAGTCCATCAATTTCTTCTTGTGATGGACTCGCACAGATCGCACAAAAGCTGTGGTAACTTTCTGTCAGCTCTCCAGCCATCTCTCTGAATGCCCACCTGGGTACTGTATGCCTACAAGCTGTGTAAAGCAGAAATGGAGGAAGCTCCAGTGGCTGTGGAGTCCTGGCTTAATGTGGAAAATGTAAATTACAGTTTAAATAATAGTATAATCATTGAGACCCAGGATTTTTCCATAGCTATAGGGTATTTCCTCTTAAATATTGATATCCAAGCCTGACTCCTGACAGGTGGTGTGTATTGCCTTAGTGAAAACAAAGGTGATTAGGATGTCCTGCAGGCATCTTTAAACTGTTTGCTGAGCTGAACGTCATGCTAGTGATTCTGTGCATTTATGTGGGATTTTGCTTATTATTCTTCTGACAACAGTGGAGGTTACATATCTGCTTGTGCTGCAGGTGTCTGTTTGCTGGTAAAGCAGTAAATTCTTACCATAGAAATACTGCATGGGTTTTTTTCTTGTTGACCTGAAGTCAGCTTAGCTTCTCCGTAAAGTCACTGGGCTTTGTCAGAAGTCAGTTCTGAGTTCTCCATGTATTAGAAAACAGGGCTCCGTGTTCTTGGAGATGACGCAAAACAGAACAAGCTTCCATAGAGACAGAAAATATTTGCAGTTTCAGGTTGAAAGAAGGGCATGGAGAGACAATGTTTCCTTGTCTGCAAGTGATTTCTCTCTCTTGAAAGACGTCCTGTGGTGTCTCACAACCATCTGCCTCTTGCTGATTTAAGAAGCATTGTTAATTTGATTCACCACATCCTGCAAGGTACAATACCAAACCTGCAGAATAAGGTTAAAGAGCACTGTTGGTACCATGTAAAAGGGATTAAAGAGTCTTACTGAAATTGTCTTCCCCTTTTGTAACAGGGACATAAAGCTCCAACTAATCAGTTTGTCTTTGCATTGGCTGTTATGTATTTTCATTGATCTCATTAGATCATACAGGAAAATCAGTACAGTTGTATTTGTACCTAGCTGAAAGGCAGGAGTAATTTCTGTCATCTCGTGCAGAAAGTCAAAAAATGGTTTGTTTGGGTTTTTTTCTCATTCTTTCATGTATGAATTTGAGATTAATTTTTACAGGACTGTTAATTGTTTTGAGGTACTTCCAGTAGCCTCTAATTTAGAAGCAAAAACCTGCTTCAACCCAGGTAAACTTACTTACCCCAAACTAATTACTGATAATTTTCTTCCTTACACATGTAGCATTCCACTGTGTTCCTCTTGATGTACACAAGTGCAGAATGCCAGTGGGGACTGCAGAGCTGTAGTGCTGTCACTGCAAATAAGGGCTTAGTGGCTAATACAAGCAAACAGTTTTCAAAATCCATTGACTACAACCTGCCTAAAGTTGTCATCCTAATTTTAAAATAACATTTGTTATTACAGCCAGGACTAGAAAAGCTAAGTTAAATCAGGATGTTTGCAATAATCTTAATGTCACACATACATACCTTCTGACTCTCTCTGTAGCTGAATGTGCCCCTGTGTAATATGAAAGAACACTTTGTTTTGCAGAGTGTTCGTCAATGTACCATGACACAAGGGGCAGTCCAGGTGCAGTTATTCTTACTGTCAGATGCTCTGGGTGCTTCTTTTCTTTGAGAAAATTTTCTCTAAAGGGTGGTTGGGAAGCAGTCTTTCTGTGAT